GAGTGTGTCCATGCTTGTACTGATGTTAAAAGTGTTTTCCAGGTGGGCTGTCATATGTGTAGTTAGCAAGCACGCAAGAAATTAAATATATTTCTTCTCCGGTCTTGTAGTGGTTCAGTATATGCAACTAACAACAGGCAGACTCAAGTTCACTTTCCCTGAGAGTATAGTTGATGTTTTAAACTTTTCTACTTTAAAAAAGTTAAAGATTGTACAATAACTCCATAAATATTTCCCTCACTCTTTAGATGGAAAAGAATGCAAGGAATCAGTACATATTAGTATTTTTCAATGCGCTGTTGTGGTGTAATAGCAAGTATATACAACTAGCAACTGTAAAAATTTTTCTCAGTGAAGGCAATGGGGATTTTTCAAGATAGCTTCTTGCAAAATGCCTAATAATTTTATACACAGTAAAGCCTAAGTTTATGAAAGACATCGTCAATAAATCTTTCAGAGGAAAGAGAGAAGGGAAGTTGTTAATTTGATACTCGATATTACGCAGTATTCAGAAAAAAGAAAATGCCGTACAATATGAAACCTCTGAATCAGAATACTTGAAAATACTCACTGATTCATTACAGGCTTCCAAAAATAAAACATCTGACTAGGAAGTCAATTTTATCTTTATGTAAGCTTAGGCGATCAGCACTAGACGCTATTTTGCGGGAATACCAGTGCTACTGATAAACAAAGAAAGGATGTATTGTTAATTTTTTTTTGTTTGTTCGATTGCTGACTTCTACTTAAGGGCTTTATCATTATAATATATTGTTTCATTAAATATTAATTAAAGGTATATTATTTGATACTAGGTAAATTATTTAAAAATTAAATATAAACATATAGTAGAATATATTATAGTATTTATCTCTCTCTGACCACCTCTGAATGATTTGAAAGAGTAATCAAATAACGGCATTAAACGTAGCCGACAATCATATCTTTTAAGGCAGGGATGGGCAAACTTCTCCTATCGCGAGCCAAAAATCGAAAAACAAAGTCTGGGGTTTGCAAGATAAATTTTTCTTAAAATTTTAAAAACAATATACAGATATTACAATTTAAATATGTTAATGAGATGAATGAAAATGCGATTTCATTTTTAAAAGTTCCTTATATTGAAGTTCGGAGTGAGATGTACTGATTCTAAGGAACGAGACTAAATACTCATCTGTCAGTGTATTCTGAAATCATTCTTTCTAATGTTCATAGTTGAAAACACTTGTCCACATATATAAGATGAAGCAAACATAGCTCTGATTTTCTGGACGTGAGATATTAAATTTGGGAAACTTACTTTTGATAATGATTTGTAAAAGTCCAACTTTTGCATATTTAGAAACAACTGCTTGAGATGATTGTTAGATTGCAACTCTATTAATTGAAGCTGTAAATCTGAACTCACTGCTTCACAATTTACGTTGAAAGGCATGGTAAAATTACTCCAATTCTGCTTGAATGCCACTAAAATCAAAATGTCGTTCTTATCTCATTTCCCAAGCAGCTTATCTAGCTTCCCAGCAAATAGATTAAGTTTTAGTTTAAAAGCTTTGGTATGGGCCCAGATATCGTCGATAAATTGATTTTTCCCTTGACATTCAAGTTACTCATATGACAAAGAAGATCTGTGAAAAATGTAAAGTGCAAAAGCTATTCTGCATCTTCTAACATTTCGCACTCCGCAGAACACTATTTCCCATGGAAGAACGACACAGTGTCGTCTTTCAGCTGCCAAACTCTCTCAAAAACACATCCTCCACTAAACCACCTTAATTTCGTGTAATACAGTACATCAGAGTATTCAAATTGCACGGACTGAAGAAAATCTCGAAATTGCCTGTGAGTAAGCCTACGAGATGGGATAGTATTTACAAGCTTCACGATTGCATCAAGCACGGGTATCATAATCAATGCAGATTTACACAGAGCATCTTGATGTATAACATAATGTAGAAAAACAACATTGTTCCCGGGATAGTTTTGATTAAAGAGTTCAAGAAATCGAGATTTTTTTCCTGCTATATTTGGTGCTCCATCGGTCGTAATATTACATATATTTGTTACAGACACTTTAGAAGTTGTAAGCCCTTCTTGAAATTCACGAAAAATATCCCATCCCGTTGTAGTTCCCTATAAAGAACGCTTGCAAGCCAGTCCCTCGGTAATTTCAAAGTTCTCATCAATCTCTTATAAATACTAATACTAACTGAGCAGTATCATTTATATCAGTGCTTTCATCCATAGCTATTGAGCAAAATGTAAACTGGCCATCTTTGACTCTAATTGTGATGTCATATTTTCATCGATGTCTTCGATTCTAGAAGTCACCGTGTTTCGAGATAAGCTTACAGTCTCAAAATTATTTTTCTTCTCTAGAAATAAAACATCACAAACTTGGATTGTTTAACGAACTTCCCAACATTGAGAGCTTTACTATTTTACTATTTGTGCGCTACAATGTGATTTGCACGTGTAGCTGCTACTTGGATACTCTTTACCTTCTTGAAAACTTTTTGTCTGTCTGAAGATTTTTTACAAAGACTTTCTTCATTTTTTTTTCATATTCGGACATTGCTTCATAATTGGAATTTTTATGCTTAGATGTTAAATGATGGGAAATGTTACATTCTTTAAAGACTGCTACAGCTCATTGCAGATCAGACACACTGGTTTATCTTTTAACAACTGTAAAAAATATATTTCCAGGTCCGTTCCTCATTAAAAGCACGGCACTCTGAATCAACTCTACGTTTTTTATTAGCCATTTTTCCAATGTTTTTTATTAGCAATTTTTTTGGGTTGAAATATTTTACAAATAACCCAAAAAAGCACTAGCTATGCTATATTTTTAATAATTTCACTATTCACAATGATGCTGTATGCCCGCAATCTTTCCATACGTAATCAATAATATTAGAACTCGGGCCAAAAGAAAAAGCCCCTGGCTGGAGCTTAAAAATATGCGCAGTCTGCCACATGTGAGGTCTAATTCACCTATAGGAGATTCCCATGTGTCTGCTTCCCGAGAAAGAGATAACGCTTATTGGCGCCATCTACAAATTTAACTAATAAAGAACTTCCACTTTTAGCACTTTACCGATTGAAAGCTGTCTATGCTTTCTATTTCCGTCGATTTATGCTTTGTAGAACAAAAATAGAGAAAGTAAAAAGATCATTAGTCCTTTGGGAAAAAAAGGAAGGAAAAAAATAATATTTAAACAAAGTAGAAAAGTAGATGGATATATAATATATAAATATATATTTCTTTTAATTTGCCTCGGACCTGCAAATTAAAGTTCTATCCGCGAACCGAATAGAATCTTACGGCAGGCCGGAGTTGGCACGCGGACCGTAGTTTGCTCATCTCTGCTTTAAGGCAACCAGCTATATAAAAGCCTAGGAATCATGGATATTTTTCTTAGGAAGTTTCATTACATGCATCATGCAAGAAATTTATAAGGTCACTTAAGTCTTCTTTGTTCAGATATTCATGCGCATTCACCTAAATTCCCTTTGCGTTAGATATTCATGCGCCGCTTCAGTCCAGATAGCAACTGGAAGATACGTGATTTAATTTCCAGTGAGAATATAATTGATTTTCCCCACAATGCCACACGGAAAAAACCACATAGTCTCTAATGGTATATTTCATAAAAGTACCTTTATGCACAGCAATTGAAAATTTCGCAAAATGTCATCGAATTCTGTGGTCTAAAAGTATATTTCAAATCAGGTTATTTATCGATTTTATTTTGCAATTTACCATTATTTCATTTTAATACTTACCATTAATACCTCATTGTATTAATAGTTCGGTTGAAGGAAATTAAACTTAAGACAAAATCTCCGACATTCTTTAAAATTCAAATAACCGAATGGCAAATAATAATTACACTAATTTGAAAAAAAGCACGTCGAAACTTCTGGTTACATTGATAAATTTTATCAAATCAGATTCTTACAAGAAGCTGATCCTTATAAATAAGAATTCATGGTGATGGTAGGTTATGAGGCTTTGTACGCATTCTAAATATTAAAACTGAAATGTTATTAGAGTGCTATCCTAGTTCTTAAAAATAATTATATGCTTTAGAGCTTACTCATTCATGTTATTAATAATATTTTGATGGTGTTGCAGCATATACTAATGATATGAGCGCAAAAGTAGTGCGAATGCTGTTACCAACGTCTGAATGCTCAAAGATCATATAATTTTACTTAATTTTCCGGATTGGTTTGATACTACCATCATTAAACATTTTCTAAGGCATTAAACATTTTCTAACAATTTACGAAGGCCTTTTTTAAGTGGGAATAAGAATCGATTACTCGTATAAAGCAAGCTTGCTTACCATTTGCATATAAAACATTTACGAAAGTACATAGAATTAATAAGATGAAATGCATACACTGAGCCTTTTGAGTATATCGTAATCACTTTACACACTGTTCAAAAGACGCAGTAAAAGAACAAAACGTGGAGAAAGGAATAGTTAAAGAGATATGTATCAAAGCTGATATATTTTCATCTACATTTAAATTCCATAATATTTTAACTGACCCTGGATCAATGAAATTTAGTGAAACCCAGCCTTAATAATATTTTTTAAAGTTTAGCCATTTTTGCATTCTTATATGAGCAAAATTAATTCAATACTCTATTTGCATTCTATTTTTCATAATTTTGGCCCGATCACAGTATTTGAGCATCTTATAAGTTATTTCTCCCACCTTATTGACGAGCTTTCGTGGTGTAGTGGTCAGCATGCTTAGCGCGTATGAAAGGTCCGCGGTTCGATTCCCGGCTAAGGCGTTGTTAATTTTTCATCTTGCCTGCTTCCAAAAATACCTAATGTCTCAAATCTGAATGGACGTAATTTAAAATCTTAGTTCATGAAAATAAAACATAAAAAATAAGAATTTTATGAATTATTATATAAGTATTTGATGCGTAGCAGTGACATTATGAATGAAAATAGTCTTATACTGAAACTCACCGCGCAGTCATCACAATATCTTCCAAAATACTCTTGTTCGCTAGTGTCGCATTTACAGATGCCGCATTCGCAAGTGCCATGTCCACTGCACATCTCCTAGAGAATAAATGAATCTATTAGTGTTTTAACTTATCACTATTTTCAAAACTCGAAAGTTTACAAAAATCTCTAATATCGTTTAAGATAAATGCAGAAAAACTACAATACCATCCAGAAATAAACAATTTTAAATTTTAAAAAATGCAAAGCTATACAACAGTGCAACAAACGGAAGATAAAGTTGGTTGTTGTTACTTCCATTAAGAATATAATATTTTTATTTTCTTTCTGTTTTCTATATTTGCCTCTTCACAAAAAGGTTAAATTTAAAAAGAATTTTTTAGTGATATAAAATATTATATTAACATCTTCTCCATGTCCGCTGCTGACAGGGTAGTTCTGAGAAAAATATTGACAAGAGATGTTTTAGATATTTATGTCATTTAAATGTTTTACATGATTACGTGATATGTTTTAGACGTTTATGTCAAACAGATGTTTTAAAATCAGGGAAAATGCAACTTATCCCTGCCATGATTTAAAAGAATATTCATTCCAAGCGACTATGAAATTCTGCCTTCATCAAGGAAGAAAATAATTTGAGATATTTTGCCAAAATTCACTTAATTATAAATTTAGAATATATAGATAAATAAAAAAAATAAAACATAATTAATGTGAAAATATATATTAAGAAAATCAAAAGTAGAAAAAAAAGAAAGTAAGAAAAGTATAAAATAAGACTTTTAAACTATTTTGAAAAGATATAAATAAAATGAATCGTACAAATTTCAATTTGTAAAGACTTCGAAAAAACGTTCTTATTTCACCAACTGAAAAACTTTGGATAATTTTAGCAGATGAAAATATAAATGAATGACTAAAAATCCAACAAAAATTAGTGATGAGAGATGCATTATTTTGATAAAAATTATTAAAAATTAACTCTTCAGCGATTTTGCAAGTGAAACTGCTTTCGGAAATTTATAAACCATAATATATTAAATATTTACTGTTACAGAAAAAAGGTGTTCAAAAAAAAGGTGGGGAACAGTTCTCCCGTTCTACTGGGCCGATTGACGATATTCAACTTGCGTTTTTCATGTCTCGAAAGCGCGACTTAGGATATGTATTAGATTTATATATATCATTATTCTAATATAGGTATTCTCACACAATATCACAATTTTTCTGAAATGACATGCCGATTTTTTCCATATTTCGATTCTAAGATTCAAATTATGTCAAAATGCCAAATTTTGTAAAAATCGCACGAGTTGTAAGGATCCTAAGTTTTACTAACGTTTATTTTATTTTAAATCTTTACTATCACTTCTTATTTTCTACTTTCGGCCAGAATTAAAAGCTTTTAACTTATTTATGCAAATTTGTCTTGCTAACGCCAAGTACTCAAGTTGTGGCTTTTTGCCAAGCAAGAGAGAGGAATGAGTTATTAGAAGCAGGCCGCTTGCCATAGTAGTTTTACTCGTTTGCTGGTTGCCTTCAAGGCCAGAGGTTTAATCCTCTTGATAATTTTAAACGTATCGTAGTTTTAGCAGCTCTCTGTACTACGTACGGCTTTTTGTTAATTAACGGCCAATCTTAAAGTAGGCACTTGTATATTAATCCAAAGTTAGTTTAGTTAGAGTTTTATTTAATAATTTTATATTCTTACGTTCAGACCACAAGTGGTTGGTCTCTGTATTCCGAAGTCCGGAAATCTCTGTGAAGATAGAAAAATAAAGGGTTTCGTATACCCTTCCTGTGTGTATTGTCTACTTCACAATTTATTGAACATAGCTTTAGTAAGCTCCCTGTTTCGAGTCAGGACAGTTCATGTTTCCAAGGCAAGTAAAGAGGAATACCAGTCCTGATAGAGTAGTTTTTAAAAAATTAGCTCTCAACATTTTAGCTCCTCAGTGCTAATTAAAATTTGATATATATTTATTAATATCTATTTTTTTATTAAACTGATTTGATTCTTCCTTTCATATTTCGTAATTTAGGTTCATTCCAAATAAAATTTGCCCATTTTTAGGATTTATTTTAAAAATAAATTTTATAACTTTTTTGAAAAACGTTTTGAATTATAAATTTTAAACTTTTTGCTATCATCTTAAAATAGATGCATTTTTAAGCATACCTGCAAAAAATTATAGAGTTTTTTTTATTCAAAATTCCCGAAGATATACGTGAATTTACATTTTGTCGCGTTTTGAAAATCGGCATATTTATTATAAGTGATAATAACGCCAAATATGGTTTACGCACTTTGTTAAAATTATTTGAAATTATAAACGATGACTTTTTTTCCGCACGTGGACAATGAAAAACAGGAAAGGAAAATAGGTTGCTATAAATTAAGAAGTTAGCCAAGTAAATTATTCTTGGCGCAAATTGGAAAAAAAATGCTCCAAGATAAAATTTTTAAATTTCTCCATCAATTTCTCACCAAAAATTACAAAATTTAATATCTAGATATAATTTCAGTCGTAGAATCGAAATATGGAAAAAAACTGGTATGTTACTTCAGAAAAAGTCCGATTTTGCGTCAAAATACCTATGTTAGAGCAAAGCTATATATAAATCTAATATACATCCTAAGTCGCGCTTTCGAGACATGAAGAACGCAATTTGAATTTTGCCAATCGGCCTAGTAGAACGGAAAATGTAGAACCATCCCTTTTGTTTTTCGTCGTGTACCTATATGAATACAATTTCATTCTAAAGAAGATTACTATCAAAAAAAGTTTATATTTACTCCATTTGGAGGCATGCATGCAGCTGTACTGTCTCTGCATCCACAGTTTTCACCGGTCCAACCGCTAAGGCACTTGCAGAGGCCACAGTCACAAACTCCGTGATCTTTTCCTTAAATTAGAATCGGTGCATGTTATACACTCATCTGAAAAGAGTATTTTGCTAAACAGAAGTTTATCATTCAAAGTATCATGAGATATACATAAGTTTGATTTTTATTTAGTGGTTATAGATTTTAAAAAATAGAGGGTGTCCCGTACAGAAGTTGCTTACAAATGTTTAGAAGGATTTGAGGGCAGTTTAATTAATATTAAATTATTTATAAATGTATTTATTTGAAAATTATGAAATTAACAATTTTAAAATGTTCAATCTGATAGCCTGTTTTCTGAAATAGAAGTAATAATATCCGTAATATAAAGCCTTTTTCGTAAAATTTCCAATGTACAGATTTCCATCCCTCTTCCACTACATTCCAGAGCCCATCAATCGGAGTAGGTTTACACTTAGAAAAAGCTCTTTTCAAGGGAAAACGCACTACAATTCGCAGGGAAAACGTCAGGGGACCTCGCAGGATTATGTTGAAAAAGTACACATTTTTGCTCGCGTTCGTAAGAGATTAAATACTCACAGGTCCGATGATAGGTTGACAAAATTTATTTTATCAAAAGAAACACTTCAGAAATTTGTATCTTTCTACAGAAATACCCGTACAAGTGTTCACACTATCGCTGAATACAATCAGTAGTTACATTTCGAACTGTTAAGAATATTAAACACAAAGCAATGCAGAGCGCTTCTAAAGACAGAGCTAACGCGGAGATATCTCAGTAGTCCGCTCTCACGCTGAACTAACAATTCGCAGCTACACCTGGGAGCAGGTGACGTGGAACGCTGTTTAAGACACCCAGGTGCCTGGGCCCAGTGCCCTACGCCAAATAGAACAATTACAAATTTAGAAATAATATACTTTATAGTAATTTAAGAATTAAGATAACAAATTTACATTATTGAATTTTTTTAATATATTATAAATGTTAATTAATTAGTTGGAGGAGATTGTTCAGAAAGCTGATCGAGCTGAGAACAAAAAGTACTAAGTGCACAATGTAAGCGGTAGTAATGGTAAAGTTTAAACAATTTAAAAAGAATATGTACAATAATCTAACTGACAACTGAGGGCAGATGCTGTCTTCAGTCTTTTATAGTTATCGTTGGGCCGCCGAGATATTTCTAGTACTTTCTGCTTCTCGAAATTATTAGAAGGCATATGAGGGCTGAATAACGGTACAGAGAACTATACAGGGACCGGACCAAAATGACGCCAGATGGTCGCCAAATTTGGCGACGTTTGGCTATTCCTCGTCATATTTAGAGATAAAAATAGTCGCCAAACCGTTACCAGCTTGGCGATATCTTGCCAATTTAGTGAGATAGCCATTTACTCAATGTTAAATAGACTTGCCTCTTGTATTCTTACTTTTCCGGTAAGCTTAGTCTCTGTAGATTTTCCTGTTACAGTATACAGAAAAAAAAGAAATGTAATAATTTCAAATATACCTGCACTAAAATCATCTATCTATGAAGAAAATTCGTAACAATATTCTATACCTATATCAGACTTAATTTTTCAAGGAATGCAGTTGTACCATTCTAAGTAAGACTCGTTGCTTTGTCTTGATGAAGTTTCACTTTTCAGAGTCAGTGGCATAAAGAAATGGAATTTCTTGTGCAAATATCGGACGTAAAACTTTCTCTTGATAGCACGTTGAGTTGATTTTACGCTCCTCATATTTTTAGTTTCTCGTTGTAAGAGAAATTTTCAACAGTCATAAACCCCTTACTGAAACTTTCTTTGCATTGAAGTAAATAGGTCTGTATATTTTTTTTTTAATCTTCGTTTTAGATATTAAATAGACTTTTTTTCTGTTGCAGCCATTTAGATAAATCTATGCTTCATCAGAGTCATAATATATTTTCGTTTACCTCCTGATGAATAGTTTCATTGAAGAGTTTTACAAATTATTCTACTATGGGTCTTTTTCGGATTCGGCAAGTTCTCTGGTTATCGTCGCATACCCTTGCATTATTTGGTAGTTTAACGCAATTATAAAATTAGTAAAGCTATAATCTTGAGCCTGATATAGCTTTGTATCAAAATCTCAATACATTTCAAGGGACAAAAGGTACATACCGCTCTTCGTCAAGAGCAAAGAAATCTGCAAGACCTCGAAATCAGTGGACGCGACGCTTGTACAATCTTTCCAGCTTTGCAGATCTCTTTGCTCCTGACTAAGAGAGACATGTACCTGTTTACCCTCAAACTCAGTTGAGGTCTTGACATGAACTTACGCCACACTCAAGGGTTTCGCGTTACTAATTTTATGTTTCACTTGGCGTGTTTCTCTTCTGCTTTCATTATTGCAATTATATTCAAAAAGTAGTTTTACATTATTTTCAGTATCTTTAATGTTTATATTTCTAAGTAATTTGTTATAATTATATAGAGAAAATAAGGATGAAAATCTATTTACAGCTTTTAAAGCACTTAATCCCCATAAATTCAATTTTTGGCATTAATAGTAAAGTTAAATAAAGTTTTAGGCTCATAATTGTATCCCCAGACTTGGTTGTTACATCATCACATGGTCTCCTAACTGGTTCAATGAGTTTTCACGCATGCACTTACCATTCCGAATGCCTCAAAACTCATTTCTCCTGAAATTAAATAAAAAGTAAGAAGAAAAATTTACATAATTTTTACATTACATGAGAAAAATTAAATTAAAAGCAGCATTTCTAATAAAGACAAACTGTTAACCTTCCATAAAAAAACATCAATCCTTGATTAAATTTTGAAAATCACAAAAAGAAATTTAAACTGCACTTTAAACTCTCGTATTCATGTTCAGTACACCAAAACTGATAAAAAGGGCACATTTTTATTCCATATAGTATTTTACTAGCATTGAAAACGATAGCGTTATTTAGGAAATAGCACAGCATTATTTTCAAATACTTTTCCCAAATTTCTGAATGATAATAGCTACCACAAAAAGTATTGAACTAATTTATTTGCTTTATATTTTAAAAGAATAACGGAAAAAACCTGAAGCACGCAGCAGAAATATATGAGTATCTAATAAAAAAATTCTCTAAATCGGAAATTTTCCTTTGTTAGAACTGTAAAATTTTATATGCTGCTTTTCGCATAAGAAAAAACAATTCTTTCAGAATAAATAATATAAAATCTGGAAATTTATTGCATTATTGGAAGTTCTCAATGTTGTTTCAGAGTTCTGATAATAAAGCTTTACCTTGCACGTATCTAAATTTTTTACGTTAACAAGAGACTTACCATTACAGAATTTCCCATCAAATTTGTCGCAACTGAAATTGTTGCATTCACAGTACTTGCCGTATATTTTTTCGTCAGGATTCTGTAAAGAGTTAGTCATATCCCATCATGATTAAAATAAAAGCTATTAAATACAAAGTTACTCATAATGTTCGTGAAAATGTTTAAAACTTCATAACAAATAAAATACCCAACCGGTACCTAATTTTGTTGAACTCGAGAAGAGGTAAATAAATTTAATTGCTTTTTCATATATTTTGCCAAATACTCAATATGTTCAACTTTGCAGGTGCAGCAGATATGTGTAGGTAAGTGGAAAGATTCATTGGGCATATCTGGGTGATGCCAAAGTAATGATGATTTAAGCAATTAAATTTTACGCAAATAAAGATGATTTTTACATATTATTGTAATGTCGCAGTAGGCTGATTGATGCCACATATTATGAAAGCCTGACTACCTCTTTCAATAAGATAGTCATCAGGCTTACTACTACAAAGAACATTATTGAGAAAATGAATGAGTAGAGCACCGCTCGCAAATTTTACCAGAAAGACAGAGACCTTTTTTTTTAAAATTTCTAATGGCGGGCACTAGCCGTTATAGGCACTGGTCACTACTAAGTCCAAATGCAGTCTATTATGGAGGCATTTGATAGGTGAGCCACCGTTGCCTCCTATGAAGGGACAGACAGTTTACATCTATGCCTTCTCCGGGATTCAAAAGTGGGCCCTTCGGCAAAGGAATCAGAGTCACTAACCACTTTCCCGTCTAGGCAGCAAGATAGAGACCATTTGCAAGAGTATCTGAATCAAAAATACGACTGAATCAAAAATACAACTGTGGACAATCTCAAATGAAAATATGAGGCGACAGTATGGTGGCCACATCAGTGTTGTGATTTAATTCCATGTAGCTCTTTCTTGAGGAGACTTGTGAAAAACATTTTCTTTGTCCTTCTACTCTCTGCTAAACTCCAAGATGAAACTGCTTAGCTGTCAGCTGTATCAATAAAGAAGGATATATTGAGCATTGTGAAATATACAAAAATGCTTGGTGCGTTTTTCTATGCTTCAGTACTAAACAATTGGCATAGGTTCTGTAGTTCATTTGTTATGGTTTTTTTTAATGTTTCACGAAATTATGAGTAATCAAAAGAGAAGTTTTATTTGAAAAAAAGTGTTGAAATATGCAAGGCTCAGGTTACATTGAGAAAGTAAGATTTTCCTTCCGAAAACAATTATAGAAAAAAAAAACATAAATTTTACAAGTTAAAAGAAAATAATTTTATTTAATTCTGAAAATCCTTTAAACAAACATAACCTGTAAATAAAAACAAAATTAATAACTGGCTGGCGTACAAATTTTAGCGAGTTAGTTTATTTTAGCTAATTTTAGCGAGTCAATTTTTACTGTCTATTACAACTTACGAAACAAAGCATCACCATAATTAGATGAAATTGTTTATTATTTATTAAACTCTATCCCGTAGTTCGAAAATTAAATTAAACTGTCACTGAATTTTTACATAAAAACAAAGATATCCCGATGTTGCTCGAAAATCTTTGATGAAATCACATTTCTCTCCAACTACATCTAACACTGCAACTGATGAAACACTGTAGCCTTCAATTTAATAAATTCATTAACTTAACCTTTCCACTATTATAGCATTTGTCAAACTAGAAAGAATTTATCATTCTGTTTGGGCACCTGACGTCTTAAGAGTACGGACCTCAGATACTTCCTTTCCTTATAGGCTTTTTCTTTGCGTTTCTACCTGGACTAAAATCTTATTGATTTTCAAAAATTTATTTTGAGAACTACTTCCTCTGTTTACCACCTTCCATTATATGTGAGCATCACTAAGATTATAGCAGCTTATTTTGTCTCTCAAAAAACAACCAATAATGGGAAATACACTGAAGTGACAAAAGTCATGGAATAGCAATATGCAAATATACAGATGGCAGTAGTATCGCGTAGAAAATGTATAAATGCGAAGTACTTTGGCAGGGCTTTCATTTGTGTTCAGGTTATTTATGTGAAGAGGCTTTGACGTGATTATGGCCGCACGACGAGAATTAACAGACTTTGAAACGCGGAATGGTAGTTGGAGCTAGACGCATGGGTCATTCCATTTCGAATATCGTTAGGGAATTCAACATTCCGAGATCCACAGTGTCAAGAGTGTGCCGAGAGTATCTGATTTCAGGCATAACATCCCACCATGGACAGCGCAGTGGCCGACCACCTGCACTTAACGACCGAGAACAGCGACGTCTGCGTAGAGTGTCAATGTTCACAGACAAGCAACACTGCGTCAAATAACCGCAGAAATCAATGTGGGACGTACGAGGGACGTGTCTGATAGGACAGTGCGGCGAAATTTGTCTTCCTTGGGCTATGCCAGCAGAAGACCGACTCGAGTGCCTTTACTGAGAGCACGGCATCACCTGCAGCGACTCTCGTGGGCTCGTGAGCATATCGGTTGGTCCCTAAACGAATGGAAAACCGTGCTTGGTCAGATGAGTCACGATTTCAGTTGGTAAGAGCTGATGGTAGGGTTCAAGTGTGGCGCAGACCCCACGAAGCCATGGACCCAAGTTGTAAAACAAGGCACTGTTCAAGCTGGTGGTGGTTCCATAATCGTCTGTGCTGTTTTTACATGGCATGGACTCGGTCCTCTGGTGCAACTGAACCGATCATTGACTGGAAATGGATACCTTCAGCTACTTGGAGATCACTTACAGCCATTCATGGACTTCACGTACTCAAACAACGATGGGATTTTTATGGATGACAATGCGCCATGTCACCGGGCCACAATTGTTTGCGATTGGTTAGAAGAACGTTCTGGACAATTCCAGCGAATGATCTGGCCACCTAGATCGCCCGACATGAATCCCATCGAACATTTATGGGACATCATCGAAAGGTCAGTTCGTGCCCAAAACCCTGCACCGTCAGCACTTTCACAATTATGGACGTCTATAGAGGCAGCATGGCTCAATATTTCTGCAGGGGACTTTCAACGACTTGTTGAGTCCATGCCATGTCGAGTTGCTGCACTTCGCCGGGCAAAAGGAGAACCGACAAAATATTAGGAGGTATCCCATGGCTTTTGTCACTTCAGTGTATGTGATAAAATAACAATGACATAGCGCCATACATGTAATCGTACTCATTAATGTAAATGGTGCTACTAAAGCGGTTGGTATAAAAAGTGATCATTTTCGACTATGATGATAGCATTTGTTGTAAACTTTTGTTAAATTTCAAGCACTGAAGCAGAATGGGTAACCACCAATGTTTACATGATAACTCTATCATGTAAACATTGGTGCTAACCCATGCTGCTTCAGTGTTTGAAATTTAACAAAAGTTATTTACGTTAAATTTCAAAAAAGTTTTTTTTTATGTTAAAGAGTTGTAAAATTTGTCACCTGTAGTAGATTGAATGTAGTGATATCTCAGGTTCGTGTCACAAAACGTCTAGTGTAACTTCAGATTTCGGTTAAGTGTCAGTTAGTTTCAGGAGGGCAGATCCATATTTAGAAATTTCGGCACGGATGACTAAAAGTAATGCTGGCTCTAGAGCCGGTGCAATCAGTGAGGCCGCACCGAGTGAGGGAATTTTAACGGCTACAAAATTTTTAAAATCTAAACAAGCATTGAATGGCAGAATTACTTAGTCGCAGGTATTGCATCCGGTGGCAAAGTGTGTAGCATCGTCCCTAACTAATAGAAATGATGCCCGGCGAAAATTGGTATTTGGCATTTCAAGCAAATACCAAAGGATACTAACTGCCATATAGTTCTCTAATAAGCTTTCTGCCAGCACTGGAGCTTCAGTTTTAAGAAACATTATTTCCCGACGGTTTCATGACAGCAAACGTTCTACCAGAAGACTTGGTGTAAGTGTCCTGTTCACTTACGGGAGAGCGTGGGACAGTTACCTGTTTACTTCTGTTATACACCAGTTGTCTCTCCCTACCGTTCGCTTCCTGTCCTGTTCACTTCTACACACAACAGAGCGGATCTGATACGATGCAGAGAACATCAACTTTAAACTCAAATTCAGAAGGTCCAAGATTTCTCTACAGTGGGCTGGATGCAGAAGTTGATTCTCGACATGTCTTCATCTAAAGAGAACTTGGAATCTGATGCCAATACTTCAGCATCAATAAAAGAGCCCACTGTGGTGGCGGAGATCTCATGCTCTAGGAGGAATCATACTGATTAGCTGCATATCATTCCATGTGTTTGACAGACGTTTCCTGACTACTAAGAGGTACAGAAAGAAGAATTTTTTAACCACTTGAATGAAATCTCAGTGTCGCAGTTGATTTTCAGATTCTTTTTTTAAGCGTGATAACTTTCGTTCATATGAGCCTCAACTGGTACAGGAATATCTTCGAAATTGGGATATGAATGTATCAGGAATCCGGATATCAGACCTGAAGCATGTCGGGATGTACCGGAAAGGCAAATCTAATTCTTCAAATACTTGCACGGACTATACAGTAACTAAGAACTACCGTGGAGCAAGAATGGGTGAAGCTACTGGGTGAATTCATCAGTTGACTCGTCGATGACGATCTGTATAAGAACTGACCCTGCGATTTGTATATATTAGACGTGACTGAACCCTTTATTAACTTCATTTTAGATTCCATCTTTCCACTGAATTCCATTTTTCCACAATTTGAACATTCCTGCTCTTATGGGGTAATGGATGGGTACTTTTACTACTGCATATTACGTATCATTTTCTACCTTATTTTCTGTATAAAAACAAATTTCATTAATTCCTTCTGTTATTTTTTGAAAACCTGAAGAAAGCATATTTATTCTCTTAATACTGAACACGAGTATACGTTTGGACTTGCTATGATTTGCAAGGGTTTTTAACTGGAATCACGATGACTACTAGGACTGCTTGCGTAATAAAATTGAAATTAACTAGAAAAATAAATTAATTTAGGAAACATGTACAAAGGTTTTTATTCATATAATAGAACAATATTTTATATTGAGATATGTAACAGAAAAAGGCCTAACAGAATTGCAATTTTATACAAAATTCAGTCTTAGTTTTAGTAGCCTTAATTTTGGAAGAATGCTGTATTTAAAAAATACAGACGTTTCTTCTAGTTAAAGAAAAATTGTTTACCTGCCGAGTGAAACACTCACACTTGCCACATACACAAGTTCCTTGTCCCGAACAAGGTTTTGTATCATCACCACTAAAATTATAGGAGGCAGAAAAAAAAATTAGATCCTTTGGAGATAGTCGAGAACAATGAAGAGTATTAATTAATGAATGTAATGTTTATTAATACCGAGAAGCCAAATAGAAAGAATTTTTTATTACTTTTTATTTAACATTTTTTTTTCCTGTATAACATTTTAGCAAACGTTTTAATCAATTCCTTTCATCTAATTCGTAGAAGGAATATGATAACGAATACTCATTAACTGATCTGGCCCGATTTTTTATCCTTATAAAATAATGCTAATTAGTTAAGCTAAATAGAAGTATGACTTCTACTTACTTATAACAGCTGTTAACATCAACAGAAGAATGCGAATCTAAGCCATCGCATTCGCATCGACTCCCGTATGTTTGGTTATAACAGTCACATATGCCGCACTGAAATGTACCTTTACCCTCACTGCACTTCGGGCTGTTACGCACCTGAAAAGTAAAATAAACACGTATAGTAAAAATATGAAAATTTCAAAATTTCATAGTGCAGAATCCTAAAAGGATAATTTTATTAAAAATAAATTTAAAAGCAAATTCCCAGAATTATAGAAATGAAACTCCTTCAATGAAAAACATTGTTTAAGATTTTATAATCTTTATCTTTTTATATATATATAACCGGCTAAAGTGTGTGTCGCCGATAGTTTATAGTTGTCACTTGAAAAAATGAGAGCGGAAATTAACGTTTCCGCAGTTTTTAATTAATATCTCGGCCGATTAAAGTCTTCCGAAAATCAGAGCGGTATCGATGGATTCGGAGAATTTTTTTGGCATCCGAGGATAAGCGTCTCGAATTTCAACTCGGCGCCATTCCGTTTGAATTTGGCACGTAGCCAAATCCCCTTAATAGGGAAAGCCCAAGAAAGAAAGTGAAAAATGTAGAGAAGAAAACGTAGGGGAAAATTAGTTTTTAATTAATATCCCGGCTAATTAAAGTTCCCGCGAAGACGTGAATGATCAAAATGGCGTGCCACCGACCTGCGGAAATCCAATGGTGTGCTTCGCTAGGCCCAGGAAGCCAGCCATTTCGGAGGAGATAATGTTACTCCACCTCATATATATATATGCTGCTTAAGTGTCTGTTTGTCGCCGAATAGCTTATTGGTTTCTCGCGCATACTGTACTAGCCAATGGGGTGAAGTTGCCACAGCACAGGGTTGCCGTTTCAATTGAGGCGTAGACAATTTCCTGTAAAACTTGCCTTTGCTATGACCATTACCTGAGCCTGCATTTGGACACGGTCAGCTTTATGTTGCCTGTTCAAGAGTTCGTGAAAGAACGGACGTAAAATTAAAAATAATGGATGGTCCTCTGCAAGGCGAGCTTAAAAATGATGGAAAAATCTACACAAGAAATGTTGTGTACAAAGAGATCTTTGACATGTGAATTAACATTTTATTATTTAAATCACCTTTATTTATTGAGCTAGCGGCGGCTCTTAAGAAATGTACCGCCAGTGGTTTCCTTCATTGCACTCTACTTTAAGCAATTAAGCAAGTAGAAGGGGGAAACCCCGTGGGGCAGTAAGCAAAGGGGCGTCCTCGCTGCCTGCCGTGGGTAATTCAGTTTGAATTAGCAGACACCTTTGCACAAATCATTTTAATTACAATTTGCAACATCTAGAACAGCGGTCATTTCGTATGACCACCGGGCTTACTAGTAATATATAGTTAGTTACATGATTTGTCTTTAATAACTAGTTTTCCATTGTTTTTAGAACCTCAATAAGCATTCTTCCATGCAGGGTATTCTGGAAAAAGTCCTATCGCGTAAGACGCTAAACGGAAGGAAGATGCAAGTTGTCTACTAATTAAATTTCCTTTGTGGCTTGCAAATTTTATGAAAGTATTGAATTTAATATCTAGTTGTTCCTAATGCAATGCCTAAACTTGCTTGAGTATTTATTTCTGCATGCTTTATTCATGCAGATATGCTTTGAAAAATTTGCTTTAATTAAAAGTTGAGTACTGATTTTAATGTGCGCATCAAATACATGTAAAAAGCTACCGAAGCCAAATAAAGCGGTCTTGCTTTTCTTCTGATTCCTGCCCCTACAGCACGATCATTGCCTTTTCACAGAAGAAAACCAACAGTTAGTCACCACCAACTCAGATAATTTGGTTGGTTTATTGATTCAGGCAAAATAGCCAAGAATTATCTGAACAAGGAAAAGCAGGCTTTCGAAAAGAACTTCCTAAGAAAGCTTGTTCCTGTTTATGTTGCACATGTAGAAACCGGTGAAACTAACAATGCAGGCAGACCATTCTCCAGGATTTGAATATGGCTGATGTCAGAAGAGTGCCATTTATTCTCCAAAGACTTCGGGCCCCTAAAGTGACAAAACGACTTTGCCCAGTTTGATCTCAATTTTGACAGAATGCCATCTGGATGGTCTGGAATAAATCTTCATCATTTCGTTATTCGCGACAAATGAAAACATTCTTTTAAAAGAACTCACACAACTACAGTATTTCAGTGTATAAATTCTAGAGTTCATCCAAGTTTTGCCACATCCAAAAAGACTTAATCTGCTAAAATTCTGTAGCCGGCCTTGTCTTTACCAGCAGTTTTCTCATATTCTGTAGATATGATTTCAATAGAATCTATAAAATCTAACTTCATTTTAAGTCTCGGCAGATAAATTAAAACAGGTCTCGAAACTCGCTTAGTCTGACGAATTTTATATCTGCATCAAGTGAATTTCAGGAAACAAAATTCGTTAAAAGTACATTGCGCTGTTAATTTGAATCTTGAGTCATTACCATGTCACATACGGAAAAAATTTCTTTTCGTTATTATGTCATACAGAAAGAAAAATTAAAAATAATCTCTTCAACAACAGCACAAAGATCAGGTGGATGATAAAGCAAATTGCTAATTAAAATTATCTTATACACGGTTACATGGCTAAGACAAAGCTACTCAAGCCTATCTGCTTTATGGGAAAGGCTACCTTTGTGAAGGGCTTTTTAAAAGACACTGATTTGTATCTGAGTTGCACACGGAGAAAACCGCGAAATCTCCATCACATTAACCAATGGATCAATATTTAGCCAACTGAAACACCAACGCAATAGCTACAGAAGTAATCGCTTTAATTGCTTATGATAAACCCGTTGGTGAACATCATTTCAGTGACAGTGGACACCTAATGCTTCCAAGAAAATAATGCGTTGCAAGAGATAACTATTCTCTACTCTTTGCAACCTAAACCCAAGCCATGAATGCAACCTTGTCAATAGTCGTTAGAGCTTTTGCCGATATTTTCCACCGATATCTTCATGAAATATTTCATTAAACATTAGTGCGAAAATTGCTTAAGTCAGCTTAGTGTTAGCAGCAGCTCTTATTTCATTTTTTATGAGCCTAAAAAAATACACCATATCACATCTTCTCAGTTTACGGAATAGGAAGTAGGATGTAATTTTTTGTAAGGTCATATTTGGACTCAAGTATCTTCTTTTGATATTTTTTGGTAATTCAAGTGACGAAAAAAGGTGATAACATTTTTATTTAGTGTGTTTATAGTAATAAACAATTCAAGAAGTTCAAAGTAAAAATTAGCACAAATAAGCAAAAATTACAAACATTATCACTGACTGCAATTTCATTGGAGCTCAATCCAGCTATATCAAATAATTTTCTATCGGTGAACTCAGCATAACGTTTGGTCCAAAGATGATAACCTCGAAACACACTTCCGACAGAATTCCAACCTTCAACAGGATCAGTATATATAAAAATTTTAAACGCTTTTAGGAAATACAAATTCAGCAGCGTATTAATTCGAGAAATAATTTTTGCTTCCGTAAAATGAGAGTTATGGTTCCTAATATCGTATGTAATATCGTAGCTAATTTAGAATTCCATAAGAGCTAGAATATTGAAGAACTATGTAGCTACTATTGGCTCAGTTCTTGTAAGCAACAAGTCCAAAGAAGAGTAAAATTTACCCTTTATTCCAAATCAAAATCAGATAACAGATAACCCATTCTCGGGCAACTCAAGATAGAAAATATAAAATTAATCTAAAACTAACTAAAATAAACCAGCCGAAGCTGCACAGAATTAACTAACAAAGTTGGATCTTATTTAAGATTGCCGACGTATACCGATCCCTGACAGCACGTAAAAATACGGCCGTATGACAGAAAGCTTATGCTAGCAGCAACAATGTGGCCAAAAGGCAGTACACGCTCTCCTACGCTCTATTGAAGTTATAATGTATTTCTCCGGCCTTCTTAGTATGCCTTCGTGGTGTAGTGGTGGTCAGCACGCTCGAAGCGTATTCGAGAGGTCCGTGGTTCGAGTCCAGGCGAGATTGCTCATGTTTCATCTCTCCTGCTTCAAAATAACCTAATGTCTCTACAAAGTGACCCAGACTTCAGCTTAAATACTCGTTTCTAACTCATTTACATAAATCGTAATCCTGAAAACTCATTCTGGTAGGGAAATGTAAGTGAGAAATGAGAAGATAAAGGAAAGGCTTGTTCCAAAATAAAAATAACTGTTAAAAAAGTAAAGTAAGCCCTACACTTAACAATAAGACATTACTGAAGACCTTCCCCTTCCTTTTATCTGACATAAAGGATGTATTCCTCTACCCAAAATTTCACAAATCTGTGAATTTCTCCTATATACGCAAAGCTGTATTCGCAAGAAATTTTATGAATACCCAAGAACATTTTTCATTTACAGGCAAACTGCCCCAAATGTTTCCATCAAGTAGTGTGCACCTGTTTAGAAGAAGAATTGGTAATGAAAGCAATAGATATTTTTTCAGTATATTTTTTAACAGGGTTTTTCAGAGAATTGAAGGAAGGGAAGGAACTTTGTTTACCTGGTACTTTGGTTTTTCGCATTCACATTCGCAAATCATTTCCAGGTGAATGATCAACTGGTCAGGCACTCCAACAGGATAGATTTGAAATGTTCGGTTCCACTGGCTACGATCTCGAGGGCAAAACGTGTACTCTACAGATATTTCAAAGGTCACCTAATATGCGTAACATAATTAATTACATGTCAAATATATTTAAAACTTAGTATAAATATAAACATTAATTTTGAATGATAATTGAGAATTGAAATTAATGATCTTTACACGCAGAGTTCATATTTCTTCGTATATATCAGAATTCCTTGTTTTTGTTTGCTATTTAGTTATAGATTAATTATTCAAAAAAAATATGCTAACTAAAATTGGACAATTTCCTGAAAAGTTTGATTAACTGCTTTTACATTTACTGCTGTTATTATTTTTCCTTTATTTTGCATAATCATGCAGTGTTCCTCACAAACTGTATTTTTCTTACGAACTAGCTAATTATTAATAAATTATTAATTAAAAAATTGTTAACTGTGATGTGTGTTTATAAGTCGAGCCTTCCGTTATGACTTTTTTATTTAAAATATTTTATACTTTTATGCTATATAACTTTTCCGGTTATGCACCATAAAATTTGCTAACGAACCTCTGCACCAATACATTCACGTAATAGAAAAAATAAGGAAATTGCTTCAAAAATGTCGCACTTCTTAGGAACAAAAAACAGAATTGTGTTTATTAATTAGTGTATATAAAAGTATCAAATTTTGTATAAATAAGAATGTGAACGTGTGTGTTTCTATTTTGTGCTATACACATGTAAATATTATATATATAACTATCAGCTGTAATGTCCATGTCTTGCCAAATGATTTTGAAATCCGCAAATCATAAGAATTTAAAACTTTGCAGTGAAATGTGTTTACTATACCATATTGATTGCTATGAATTTTGAACTACAGGCTTTCTTCATGAATTCCATTTGTTTCAAGAGTCACTCTACAATTGCTCCCATGATCAAAATTTGAAATTCTTTATCACGCCTAGTAAATATCATATACGACAGTAAATTATTTCTACTGACATTGTTGATATTTCAGCCATTTTTAATATATTAAAAATTCTGATTTTAAAAGATAATAATTTATTACTTGGTATAAAAATGTTATAAATTAAATTTTTCATGCTTCCTTTATTTCATTTACTTGCCTTATAAAAGCTGTTCAAAAGTATGCAAACGACCTCTGTATGTTTAAAAAAGATTTTAACCGTTTTGTCACAGAAACTAAGCATGCGTTTAAAATTATAATATGAAAATGATTACACTTAAACTTAATTGCTTTAGAAGATTATATACATTAGAAAAGGCATCAAATTTTAAAGCAGTAAAATAGGGACATAAATTGTATATTAACTTACATGCGTTCCTACTTTAAGACCTTTGCATACGTTTGTTTTCTCTATTTTATTACTGTAAGGAAAAAAATTCAAATCATTTTCTCTAAATTTATTGCATTATAAAATAAAAATATAAAATAGCTTGTGAGTTCTATGCAACGTTTAACCACATCATAAACTTCCATCATACCTTACATTGATTAATAGAAACTCCTTAACCTGTGTGCTTAATTTAAAGACTGACCAATACACAAATTTAAGTTTCACAATTAAAATTTTCTACATGCATTTTCAAATACTTACCAATACTTTTACTATTTCGCCACATGTTTAAATAAAACAATAAAATATATGCGCTGGACTTCAATTTTCAAAAGCTGTATACTTAAAAACGTTTAGAAAATTGTTTTGTATCTTGAGAAATATATTCCTTTGACCTTAATTTTATATAACCACTTTTATTAGATACATAGTTTTATATTGTTTTCTATACTAAATACATTAATTTTATGCATATATTATAACTTCCATATAAAAGATAAATAATACAGACATCATGAGTGCAATTCTTCAAGGCGATATACCCCCCCCCAAATGTTCTTGTTGACGTAGTCTCGATTTAACAGCCAAATGATTGCAGCTACTTCTTAATGGCAGCTACTTAAATTTAAACAACGGTTTTTATTTCCTTTTATTTTTAGACCAAAGAGGCTTTGTCCCTGAGGGGCTATTATTTTTGTTTCGCGATTATGCTTCGAATCATTCTGAATGTCCGTTTCACTTTTCAAACTTATGCCACCAAATATTATCGCCCTGTATTATATTTCAAGAAATTGAATAATGAAGAATAAATGTATGTATGTTTCTCGCATTGTGATAAAACAACGGTAGCTAAAGCCATCCAGTTTTGAATGACATAATCCTACTGCGAATATGAGGCATTTGAGAAGCCCGAAATTTTGAAATTTCGAATTTGTTTTTATTATCGATATTTTAAATTTTGTAAAACTTTATAACGAATTTGTTTTATTAACGAACTCAACTATTTCAAAGCGAGTACAATGGCAACGTTGCACAGAAAAAACATTTTTATTTCCAACGCGTGAGACTGTGTATCGGAAATTCTAAAGATATGTTCAATTTAAAATTATTTTGCGATATTGCTCTGGAACTGAATTTTATGGTTTAAGTGCGAAGAACATGATATTTAATAAATAAAGGCAACACATAAAATGTTAAAGAAATGCCTCTTTGGATGTAATTTAAAATCTGTAACCTTTCAGATTTTCTTTCAGTAGTCACGGAAAGACTGATTTTTTTAAAATGGCAACAGAAAGATTACGTTTTAGAAACATTTTGAGGAAAATCAGTAACTGATGTAAATCAATAGAAACTATCAACGATTAGATAATGGCTCCCTGGTTACAAATCGGCTTCTTCGAACCAGGCAAAGATCCAACCTCGCGTAGGGAACTTTTCAAGAATCATCCTGATTATTCTACGCAATTAAATTAATCAACCCTATTCAATAAAATTTGAAAAGAATCTTCCTGATTCTGCGCTGCTGGATGAATTATCCTGATTCAATAAAATTTGAGAAGAATTATCCTTATTCTATGTTCTTTGATGAATTATCCCGATTTAATGAAGTTTGAAGAGAATCACCTCGAATCTTTGCGGTTTGAAGATGAATTGTTAATTTTAGAGCCGGGATCTTCATCGAGAGAAAATGTAAAGACTGAAATGCTTCATTATAAAGTTCTATCTACAGAACAAATTTTTCAGCATATGGTTGCTAGTATATGCGAAGTAAATACTGTAGTACAGATGCCTCCTATTACACAAATTCTTTTAAATTAAGTGTTCAAGTGTTCAAGATGTATGAAAGATATTATGATGGTAATCAAAATGCGCATTTTAAAGAAGCCCACATAATTAATCCATGCAAGAAGTCTCCAAACGTAGCCATCGAAATATTCCGGTTTGCTGACAGATATTGTTGGCATTTCGCTGAGATGCCGTACGATCCAGAGGGGGAGTCTGTAACCTCACGGCTTTCAAGTGTGCAGTCACGGCAAGAAAGATTTTTTTTAATGGTAAATGGCAACAGAAAGATAAAGTTTAAAAATATTTTGAGGAAAATCAACAGAAGCTAACAACGCTTAGATGTATGGTTCCCTGGTTATACGTCTTAATAAGTCCAATCGCCTTACTGACACCTGATTTGGTTTATTTAATTATGGCAATGTACTCGGAGGCTACCTGCCTAACTGGAGGGATGTCTTCTTGGAGAACGCTTTAAGTGAATCTGGCTCGTATACACGCTACACATGGGCAAACTACAAAATTGCCTTTGCAGCTAGCCCGTTTTCCAGATTCGAACCACGGTCCGAATAAAGAGCGTTCAGCGACATTACCGCTCAGTCCCTGGTGAGCCTGACTGACACCTGGAAGAGAGAATGCTTCAGAAGAAACCAAAACTTAGAATATTCTGTTAACGGACCTGAAAGAAATTTTACATAATCTCTTGCATGAAGTTGGAATAACGACAAGACCTTTTTAAAAACTTGATGAAAAGTAGATCAAAGGTTTATTACTACTTCTGTACGAATCCTGCAAATAAGTTGAAAGAAGTTTTAACTACAAAGAAAGAATACTAGAAAGTCACGGAAATATTGAAACATAAATGCCTTTAGTGGTTTAGTGATACATACTGGTGATGAAGGAGAGCGTTTCTGAAAAGCCTAAAATCATTAAAAAAATATTACTAATGATTCTACCCATATATCTATAATTTATGGGATCATTTTTTAATGTTGCACTACGATGCTCTCGAAGAAATAATGATAGAAATTTGGCATAAAAGTCGATTTTTAATTGCCATAACGTTTCCCTCAAATTTACAATGAAATGATTTATTCTTTGCGTTCTAAAGAGTACATACGTAGATTAAACGCCTAAGTGTAATTTCCTCCATCACTACTGCATTGCACTGACTGGCAAAAATGAATTTTCTGTTGCATTCAGAAGAAAAATTTGCTAGTTTAAGAAAATTCTACCCTTAAATTTAAAAAAAAGTCGAAAGAAAGAAAGAAAAACTAGGAAAAAGTATGAAAGTTCTCAAATTTTATATTACACCCAAAGGGGTTTTGTTTAACGTTTTGTGTGTTACTTTTATTTATTACATATGATGTTCTTCTCACTTAAACAATAATATTCAATTCAACAGCGATATCACAAAATAATGTTAAAAAAAGGATAACTAAAATTTCCGATGCATAGTCTTTGGAGATAAAAATGCATTTTTTTCCTACAGCACCATTGCTCACTTTACAAATCGTTGAGTTTGTTCATCAAATATTCGTTCAACTTTTACGAAATATGAAATAGATAATAAAACAAATTCAAAATTTGGGCTTCCACATGCCCATTTCGAGTGGAGACGTACGTTATTCAAAATTGGATGGCTTTTAAAGGTTTCGACTCAAAATGCCGAAACGAAATTATTAGTCCTTTGGGCTAAAAAGAATTTTTTTCGTTATAAATGTTTATAGCTGAATAAAGATATTTTTAACGGATACATTACATGCCTGGTACAGATCTAATTGGCTTCATTAACTGGCTTTTAATTTGTTATTTATTGCAAGTGTCCTATTTTGCTTCGATACGATGTCCCAAAATTTTACTGGATTTTTTTTAGATGTTAATTGTTATCGTGCTCATCTCGTATGTACATTTTTTAGCTGTGTAACTAGGAGATTAACGTTTAGAGCTTGTTTATTAAGGTTAAATCTTCTAACTTTTCATTTTAGGCATTTAAAAGAATTACTGACACAATATCCGGATATTTGTTTTCACCATCGATACTAGTGTTCTCTTCTTTCGCTGTTAATAAATGTTTCCGGTGTTGTGACAAGCTGTCAAGGTACTTATTTGTGATCACATTGTGATTGAGACATACGTGTATTGTAAAGTTATAAATCAATCTGGAACCCGTTGCAGCTGCTCAATGGAGATCTAAAAAGTATAGAAATATTATATTTTAAAAAGTTTGCAATCCGATTCTTAAGAGATTTCAGATCAACATATGAAATATGTCAAAATGGTTATTATTACGAGCTCATCGATATCTAAGTTTTTAAAAAATAAGATTTCTCACTTAAAAAAGAAAGAAAGAAATTTTAGAAAGAAGGTTTTTAACTGGTTTGAATATGTCATACATGTACAAAAGTTATTTGTTGTTAAGTTACCAAGAGTTTAGAAATAAAAATGCAAATCAAAGAAAACACTACAATGTACCCATTCTTCTTTGAGAGGGAACAGATAAACTATTTGCATGCGAATTATAAAGCGTTAAAAAGTTAATTATAAGATATTTCTCCCGCCTTCTTAGCGAGCCTTCGTGGTGTAGCGGTCTGCACGCTCAACGCGTAATTGAGAGGTCCGCGGTTCGATTCCCGGCAAAGGCGTTGCATATTTTTCATCTTGTCTGCTTCCTAAATACCTAATGTCTCTACGTAATGAATAAACAAGAAAAAACTGAAAAGTTAAAAACTTCTGATATATAAAAAAATTATTAGACGTGATTCCATACGCTAAAAATACCCTTTCTGAAATGCCTTTCAAACTGTTTGTTATTAATAACGAAAAAATCTGTAAATTCTTTTCTCAACATTCTACTGGTGAAGCAAAAGATTAAGATTCATAAGAAGTGGACACCCAAACCTGGACCACTCAGGTTCGAAAAAATAGAATATAATTTAATAAAAATAGAATATAATTTCCTTTCTATGAGCAAATATAATACAATAATAATCTAATAAAGATATAACATTTGCCTTAAAATGCAAATACCCCGATTTATTAGTCAAAGGGATTTGAATCCCGAAGGACTATTAGTTTCGTTTTGGCATTTTGCGTCGGACTCATAAATGTCGGTTCACTTTTCACAAATGTTAGAGTCCTGCATTATATTTGAAGAAATTAAATAATGAAATCTGCATAAATGATTGTCTATTTCTCGCATTGTGATAAAACAATGGTACATAGAGCCATCGAATTTTGAATGACGAAATCCTACTGCGAATATGGGCATCTGAAATCCCAAATTTGGAATTTGTTTTATTATAGATTTTTATATTTTGTAAAACTTTAACGAATTTTTGATTTACAAACTCAATGCTTTAAAAGCGAGAAATGGCAACGTTATATAGAAAAAAAATACTTTTATCTCCAGCTCGCGAGACTGTGTATATCGGAAATTCTAAAGATATGCTTAATTTAACATTATTTTGCGATATTGCTCTTGAACTGAATTTTATGGTTTAAGTGCAAAGAACATGATATTTAATAAATAAAGGTAACACTCAAAACGTTAAAAAAACGCCCCTTTGGACGTAATTTAAAATCTGAAAAATTTCAGATTTTTTTTTTTTTTTTATATTTAATGTGATTTTTTTAAATGTGTCAAAATAGTAAAACACCTTCTAGTTCATAAAGCAAAAGGGCTGTTTCGTTATCATTTGTGTGCTCGCAGAGGTAATGCTTTTAATTTCTTTGGGTAAATTATTTTGTGTTCTTAAATTAGTAAATTCAAACAACTCGCTGTCGGTCTCCTGTTTGATAGCATTTCTCTCTGACTTAAATTGCAAAACGTGTGACCTTTCCTTGAACACTGAAAGGACAATACATAGATTTCATTTACCTTTCTCTCGATATAATACAGGAACTTTGAACTGAGGTATTGATTAGCAATCTATATATTAATAAGCAACATTTAAATAAGTACCGTAGTAAATTTAAATATTTTAAGAAAAGTTAGTGAGATGAACAATTTGACCAACAGGAAAAAAATAAATATTAAACTTAAACAAACTTAAAATAATAAATGCAAGGCAATTAAAATATGCTTTAAAAGCTAAAGTATTTATCTTTCCTTACAAAATACAATGTACACCATTAATAACGTCAACTGTTTATCAGAATGTGCACCCTTGGATTACACGACCCCAATGTGATAGAATTCATCTCAGTTTCGATGTATCACGTGTACTATAATACAGTGAAGTAGCTTTTGAATGAATGTAGATAATGGTAGTAAGTAAACGAATTTTTAACAACCTTTCAAAATTGTGGTGGCTGAATGAGGAGAAGATCACTGTTTCCCATCTACAGCATGTCTCATTAAGCGCTATGAAAGAATACAACTGAAAAATATTCGCAAATTCCTTTGAAATTGGCGAGGGAAGCTCCAGCTACATGTGAAAGGTAACTGCCACAGTAATAATCCATTTAGACCTACTAGTTTCCCAGACCAGAAATCAATCACAATTGCTTCAGAGATAAAAGGAAAAGGCCCTCGTGTGATCCAGCGCATTAAGCGCTTAATTTTGTATAGCTATACCTCTTTTAAACTGTGCAGAAAATTCATGCTACAATGTGTAATGATAGATCCGGGTACTTCACATCGGAGCATACAGAAAGCTTTCTTCTGTTGCGACACCATCTTAACACTGGCCCCGTGGCCTCTCAGTAAACATGAGAAGCAAACTGTCAATAATGAATGAGAAATTTGGTTGGTTTCCACTGCCGATGGTGTGGATTATGCCCAATTAAAATGAAAAACACATTTTTAACTGAATTTTGAAATTTTACCACTCTTTTGTGCATGACCTGTATATTAAAAAACATTTAAAAAACACCGTATAAGTAACATGCAGTCTTATATCTATAACCAATTTTTAAAACAGAAATATACAAATTACCAGACTGGTAAATGTGACATATACATGTATATATATATATATATATATATATATATATATGAAGAAAGGAATATGGTTAGTAAAATGGCTCTTTCGATTTATAATTGCATTATAATACATTGCAATACATTCTGTTTAAAATGACAGTAAAATTAAAGCAAATTTCAATAAATTTCATCTTAAAATTTATATTAATACAACAGTGAACAAAACATACCCGAGGCATTTGGAGTAATAAGAGATGCGTATATTGGGATCATTGTTGTTATCTGTCAACTCCACAGAAGAAGTGATTTTCTGGAACAGAAAAGAATCACATGAAATAAAAACGATTTATTGTTAACTCCTCAGCAAATGAAAGCAAGAAATTGTTCTTCGTCAGTAGGCAACGCTTTAAAATGTTTATCTCCTTTCATATCGCCTTATTTAGATTTCAGGCATTTGGTAATTATATATTCTTATGATTTACATATGATTTACATGATTCTTACACTTTTTCTCTTACTCTGTAGTCGCTGAAGCATCTAAAAAGAGTCAAATTTGTGTCATGCTTTATACACTATATATAACTGTTGCATGTATGTAAAACATAAAAATTAATGTTAAACAAAGGCTTTATGGTTTAATTCTTTTAGTTTTTTAAATTAAGAAAAACCGTTAAAAGTGGCCTAAAAATACACGATGCATATAAAATTATTAACAAAACAATAAAACAGTAAAAATAAATAAATAAAAGTAAAAATGAAAACAAAATACTTTTTTTTTAATCTGAAAGGTTTCAGATTTTAAATTACGCCCAAAGGGGCGTTTTTAACATTTTTTGTGTTACCTTTATTTATTAAATATCATGTTCTTCGCACTTAAACCAAAAAAATTCAATTTAAGATCAAAATAATTTTAAATTGGACATATCTTAAGAATTAACAGTCTCGCGCGTTGGAGATAAAAATGCTTTTTCTGTACAATGTTGTCATTGCTCGCTTTGAAATCCTTGAGTTTGTTAATCAAAAATTCGTTAAATGTTTACAAAATATGAAATCAATAATAAAACAAATTCCATATTTCAAATTTGGGCTTCCCAGGTGCCCATATTCGCAGGAGGATTACGTTATTCAAAATTGTATGGCTCTATGTATCATTGTTTTATGACAATGCGAGAAACATACATATATTTATGCAGATTCTTCATTATTTAATTTCTTTAGATATAATACAGAGCGATAATATTTGGTGGCAACAATCTGAAAAGTGAAGCAACGCTTGTAGTGAATCAAAGCAAAATGACAAAACAAAATCAATAGTCTTTCTGGGCAAACTGCCCCTTTGGATTAAAAAGATGAATACTCCTTTCACAATATTTTAATTTAATTTCTTACACGACTTTTAGCTTCATTTTCGTTGGAAGATAATTTATGCATTATGCAAAGTGACAAAAGATTAAAAAAAGAAAAGAAAAAATTGAAAAAAATTAAGTAATTTTATATTGCGCCCAAAAGGGAGTTTTTTTAACATCTTTGAGTGTCGCCTTTATTTATTAAACATCATATTATTCGCACTTAAAGCACATAAAATTCAACTCAAGAGCAGTATCACAAAATATTTGAAAATCGCAAAACAGCATATTTCCGATACACAGTCTCGCAAGCTGGAGATAATTTTTCTTCCAACAGCGTTGCCATTGCTCGCTTTGAAATTGTTGAGTTTGTTAAATAAAATTCGTTCAAGTTTTACAAAATTTGAAATCGATAATAAAACAAATTCGAAATTCAAAATTCGGGCTTCCAAGTGCCCATGTTTGGTCAGAGGACTACATTATTGAAAATTTGATGGCTCAAGGTACTAAGTACCATTGATTTTTCGCAATGCCAGAAACATTCATGCAGATTCTTAAAGCATCTTTAAACATAATGAATGGTGATATTATTTGGTGGCATGAGTCTGAAAAGTGAATCAACGCAGAAAGTGAAATGACGCAAAATGCAGTTTTGAGACTAATAGCCCTTGGGATCTAACACCCCTTTGGGCTAATAAATAAAATTTTCAAGGTCCTTTTTATACGGAAAGGAAAGCGCCAAGGAAAGAAAGAATCAAATTTCAGATTTTTATAGTGTAATGTTGCGCGCTTCCAACCTGCACGCAACGATAGTGGTGACTGCTATGAACTGGAAAGTATACAAAGTCTTGAGAAGGGTTTAAATCCCTTTTTATTCAACTTTAGAAATTACAGATGCGTGGTCTTGACGCTCACAAACTACGCCGACCCGGCGGTAAAATAAAAATAAGAAACTAAAAAAAGAATAATAACAAGAGACTAACTACGAGGCTCTCTAAACGTAACTAACCTAACCGCGTTCTAAGATACCGCTGACAATTCAGCAAACTTCTGAATATTACGTTGAAAGATTTAACTATCTACTGAGGCAAGCACACAGGCCGAAACGCGTGGTTCTTCAATTTCTAACTAGCCACCTCCACGCTCGTGAAGCAAGAGAGCACACTATCGAACTCGTTTCCCTTCTATTTAACTCAGATTACTTCCGCTGACAATTTGAATCCTTGCGCGTTCTACTAAAATTTACATACTCTGGCATTGGCAATTCCAGAGGAAAGTAAGGCTTGACAGGAAAGATAGTTTAAACTTAAAATAAATGTTAGTTAAAATAAATATAAACCCTACAATGGTCTGAGCTGTTATTATGCACCTTGTATAGAAGTTATAAATACGTAACTACACCATTAATATTTCAGTTCCTCATTGAGCTTATATCAACGTAGAGACATTAGTATTATTGGAAAAGCCGGAGAGATGAAAAATGAGCAAACGCCTTCGCCAGTAACCTAACCAAGGACTTCTGAAATACCGGCTCAGTGTGCTGACCACTACACCACGAGGACACGCTAGGAAGGCGGGAGAAATACCTTATAATATATAAAAAATTCTTATATCGCACAGTTTTAATGGAGTGCTAAAATATAAAAAGTAATTGTTTTAGCTATCGTAATATTCTTGGTCACATAGGGACTCGAAACAAATTCATATGTTTCTAACAATGAAAACACTTTAAATCAAAATTATCGAAGAGAAATTTTAATGCATCAAACGTAATCATTCTTATACTATTTCCATTATATCACTTCTATTGCTTGTTAAAATTCCGTTAATGCACAGAAACATATTTTATGTGCGCCCCTTGACTGTATTCTTAGCCTCTTATATAACAAAGAATGTTGTAAGGACTAATTTTGTTCTTTGATTCATTTGATTTAAAATTTGCAGTTTAATTTTTTTATATTTAATTTTATACTTTTTTTAAATATGAGGAACTCTGGAAAAGGAATAAAGAAATCCACTGCCTTCGGAGTAAGAAAAACATTCTTATATAAGCTTTCAGCATAACAATGAAACACGGAGAGTTGACTTTCTTTCAAGATCTTCCGATTCTACCGATGATTCGAAATTTCAGTCCATTCACTTTAAATTCTTTGAAATTGAAATTTCTGATTTTAAAATTCGTTCTTATCAACAGCCTCATGATTCTTGTAATCAATCCGCCTATAAAAATTGCCCTAAATCGGAAAATTACGCTAGGATTTCTAAACAAACATTATTTCGAAGTTTATCCGATACGGCAAAAATCGAAATTCTTCAATGACTAATTTGAATGTTAAGCAGGGATATGTGTGAAATGTCCGATCATTTTAACATTGTAGAAAAATCAATTCTGTATCAGTTTTAAAAAAATCACTACGAAGTATTGTATAGTTATCTCAAAAACACATGCGCGTAAGAAATCGAAAAACTCTACCCTTTAAAAGTGGGTGAGAAACTGATTTTCAACTCGGACGTAAACAAACATAAAAATCTAAGCAAAGCCGTATAAAAATAGAAAAATCAGAGCAATGTAAAAAAAAAAAAAAAAAAAAAAAAAAAAAAAAATCTGAAAGAAAGCACGTGAAACAAAGTCAAAATTTTGCTTCCATCACCTTATCATTGTATAATGGTAATTTACTACTAATTAAATATTTAAATATGTGCTATTATAAAATACCAAAAGTAATTGTTATAAATATTCATGTCTTTACAAATGCCGATAGCAGAGTCGTCGGTATTTGTAATATCTTAAATGAAAGTCCATACATTTCCTTAAAAATTCTTTATCACTAGTTCTTTTATATGCTCTTCTGAAAGTCTGCAAAAACAGGTATTTCTTCCCCCCTCCTTTATTTCAATTCCAAGCAGTGCACTTACTGTCTAAGGTATTTCTCCCGCCTTCTTAGCATGCCTTCGTAGAGTAGTGGTCAGCATCCTCGACGCGAATTCGGGAGATACATGGTTCGATTCCCGGCGAGGGCACTACTCATTTTTTATCCTTCCTGCTTTAAAAAAATATCTAATTTCTCCAGAGTGGCGCCCGAACTAAAAGGGTGGTAGGTGACGATTCTCCCAACCAGGATTTGGAGATTAGGTCCCCTAATCCCCAGTCGCCCTTTAAAAGGGGGTATTTAATGCATTTCTCCCACCTTCTTAGCATGCCTTCGTAGTGTAGTGGTCAGCACGCTCGACGCGAATTTGAGAGGTCCGTAGTTCGAATCCCGGCGAAGGCGTTGCTCATTTTTCAGCTCTCCTGCTTCGAAATTAACTAATGTCTCTACAATTATTTCGCTAAGTATTTTCTATACTTTTCTGCTTTAATAGTTAACAACACGTATATCATAAAATATTCTTTTGTGTTTGTCAATAAAATAAAAAATACTCTTCTCAATACTTTCATCAAATTCTTTGTTCATTGTAAAAATCATTTTTATGTTCCAGAGGAAAGTGAATTGGAATAGCTAGCAAACCTGGTTCTAATTTCATTTCTCACCTGTTGATATTGATAAATTAATCCTCATTACTCAATCAAACACATACTTTCCTTTCCAAAATAATAATCACCGCTAGATTTAAAGTTTACGTCTGGCAAGGCGATCCCAATCCTACAAATTAATAACTTTTATTTTGGATTACGATGCTGACGATACTTTTGCTTTTTTTTATGTCAATAAAGAACATAAGAATTTTATCAATCATACATTTAAGAGATTTTGCTGTTCAGTTCACTTTTTATTCACTCAAAATATATTCGCTTTTTAAAAAGAAATCTTCTATTCTTCGGCATTTTATCCACCTAGAATTAACTCAATTTCATCAGTACTCTATCGTAAAACTTCCTCGGTTTGCCTTTTGCCTGCATTCCAAATATCATCATTCTGCTAAGAAGAAACGGCATCATTTTATTTTCTTGATTTCAAGTTGCTCTGCCATCAAAACATGAAAATTTCTTTTCCTGTCATTTCACCAGGAACTTCTCGAAACATTGTGCATAAATAGAATGAATGCAAAAAAGAGAACGAAAAAAATCTTGTAAGCACATATTTTTCTTCGTCTGATTTTCCATTTGCTGCTGAAGAGAGTTATTTTTGAAATTCCAAGCTACATTAAAAACTTCAAGTTCTACTTACGCTATTATATCAATTCCAGCAGCTAATTTTTATTTTCTTTATCATTAAATTCCTTTACTAAGTCCTTTTTAACATTCTAGTCTGTTATTTTAAAGTAGGCTACTTGCTAACCATCCTCATTTATGATAGTAACGCGTGACGTCTCCATTGTGTAGTCATCATCGCACAGCATTTATCTCCTCCACCTCATTTGAGGTTGTAGTACAGCTCAACCTTCTTTCGCAAGCTTTTCATGAAGCGAATGAAGCTAAGTGGGAATGAAGTGGAGAAAAAAATTAGCAGCTCCGAATCGTCTGCTGCGGCTGTCGTTCCCATGATTACGAGGCAACTCTGTGGAGGAAAATAACCTTGAAAATCTTATTTTAAATAACACACTATATTAGCCAATAGTTGCTTCCAAATAACTACTGAAAGAGGGCCATGCTACCATCCTGAGTTTTAAAATTAGGTGTTTCAGTATTAACAAAGAAATTATATAAATTATAATTCTTGCTTTTTGCACCTGCCTTCAAACCAATGCTTCTAACAGACTCTTCGTGTGATATTCTGGTTAGAAAGATGAGTCCTATAAAAATCAGAAAATATGGAACAAAGTCAGCTTATACAAAATATGGTTAATAATTAAAAGTAAATATTACATACTTACATCATACTGTTGCCTGACGAGGTCAACAACATTGCTCGAGTCGTTCTCCAATTTACCAGTGCTAGAGCCCGTAAGCAATCTGCTGAGTTTTTCATATAATTTTACTTGATCGCTGGTAACCGCAAAGATTATATTAACATAATTCTTCTTCACTTGATTTTTTATTTGACTCAAGGATGGGTAATCAAGTTCTGTACTTTTGGTATAGGAGCCACGAGAATCCAAATGGCATGTTTCGTCATTGGGACTAATGATGCCACCGAGCTGAAAGATAATGGATATTATTTACTCACAGGCTTGTATATTGTTTCCATATTAAGTAAATCAGCACTTTTATAGCTAACTTTACGTTGTGGGTACATTTTAGAGGATTATTTTACGTAATAAATCAACGACATTTCACGTAGGAGTGCCCAAACTCTAGCTAAAAAAGCATTATCGCAAATTAAGGGAGCGATTATAAACACCTCTAAAGAAACTTCTATCAGATTGTTTTCAGTTTGTGTCAGGCAAAATAAGAACTATTGCCACTTGAGGAAAATGATTGTTGCAAGGTTTGAACGCATATGCGATCCAATGAAATAAATGCACAGCTGCAGCTTGAATAATTGAGTCTTTAATTAAATAAGTGTAGAAGTATATAACGTTATTTTTCGATGAAATAATATCAAAGAATATTGCTTTTCACCATTAAGATTTTATGCTATATATCTGTAATTTTCGCAGAATCAATTTTTTAAAGTTAACACACCAGCGAAAGATCGGGTAAGGCAGTTCAATAATGATAGTTTGTAGAGTCATTAGGTTAATTGGAAGCAGAAAAGATGAAAAATATGCAACCGCCTTCCCCGGCAATCAAACCACGGACCTCTGGAATACCGGCCCAGCGTGCTACCGTTACACCACGAAGGTACACTAGGGTAGCGGGAGAAATACCTTATATACTCCCCTTTTTAAAGGGCGACTAGGGTTTTAGGGAACCTAGTCGCCAAATCCTGGGTGCGGAGAATCATCATCCACAACCCTTTTAGTTCTGTCGCCACTTGTAGAGTCATTAAGTTAACTGGAAGCAGAAAAGATGAAAAATTAGCAAACGCCTTCGCCGGGAATCGAACCACGGACCTCTGGAATACCGCCCCAGCGTGCTACCGTTACAGCATGAAGTCATGCTAGGGAAGTGGGAGAAATACCTTATAAGTTCAACACGGGTTCAGATACCAGCAAACCCGCTGGCAGCACAGTCATCTTCACGACTCCCATGTAAACTGAATGGGAGTCAGTTTACTTTAGAACGCCCTCCAAGGAAGCATCACTCCCCTTAAGTCCTACTCGACTTTGCGATTATGTAATAGATTAAAGTCCTTAAAATCATAAATTTATTGGTTATACCAAAAATGCCTTAGGTTTTAAACAGAAATCTGAACATCAAGGTACATACAAAAGAGAATATTACCTTGAATATTCATACTTGCAGCTGTTAAAGAAAGTAAAGAGAAAAAATGGCTAAATGTATATTTCATGAATGGTTTGTATGATCGCGAAGCAATCCAATAACTTCTGGATTACTATTAACTGGATTTCTTTTCCTTTCTTTTCTTTTTTTTTTCCCAGCTAGTTGCAAATATCAAAACTTTTTTTAAACTGAAAAATTAAGAATTATCAAAGGTTCATTCTGGATATAAAAATATTTTCTCCTATATCTGGATATATTCTCCTATATCTGGAATAATCTGGATATATTCTATTATATTTATATATATAAAACTGACCAAAACATAATTTTCGTGAGTAGAGATTGTTAAAAAAATGCAAGACATTTATGTGCAGTTAAGTTTTGTATGTGAAATAGGTCAAAAAGAATTTTTTGACGCCAGACGAATAATAAAAAAGCCAAATCTGGCGGTAAAAGTGACGGTTCGGCAATCTCGACTGCAGGCTAATCATTAAACTAATAGATAGTATTCAGCGATCCCCACCCTCTCTAGTTAACGATCCGTAGATGGATTTCATTGGTCAATGATAAATGTCATGGTAGATAATAACTAATAAGATTGATTTTATGACCAGTGACTGCAAAATCGCCATTGAAGGTTCAGGAATATTTTACTATTATTATTTCATGCCATTTTCCCACATTTTCTTCGGTTTTATTTTTATGTTTATTGTATGCTATGTGTCATGACACAGGTAATTTATAATGATGCAGTTGAGTCACACCAAGGGCTCAAAATATCCTCAAGGGACCGAGTTGCGATGTCAACGATCAAAAGAATGTTAGAAGCCTCGTCTACCGTTTGGATTTGAAGAAATTCTGTCGTTGTTTCGCTTGCAGTATTCGACAGGAACTGCACATAGGCTTAGCATTCCTTAGGAACAGTATAGAATAGCCTTCTTTGCTTTGCGGTATTAAGTTAAAGAACTAAATAAGCAATTATAGTGTAGGGTTTTAATTATCGTTTATCATCTGAGGATGTACCATGCGTCAATATCCTGTCTTATTGCTCGATGTCTCAGGTATAAAATTATTATCTTTTAATCGAAATGAAGGTTAGTTAGTGTAGTCAATCCTACTATAGCGAGCTTGTTTTATAATGAACTCACGGATATAACGAACGAAATATTTGGTCCCATCCAGATTTTCAATACACACAAACGTTAGTTTGTTGTTGCTTATACTCACTTGTCTGACCTAGCCCAAATCCACGAAATTCCTCGTGGCAAGGAGCGCTAGATTACATCTGTCATTGGCAACAGCCTTGAGACCAAACAGGTGACAGTGCGATTTGGCTCAGTTCTGATGGAGAGCACACCGGGAGGGAACGGATCCGAGGTTCTCCCACCCCTTTTCCCTTCCACCAAACCCATGGAGGTAAGAAAGGGTTCTTACTTCCTACTTCCATGACCAAACCACAGGAGAGGAATTTCGGCTCGCCGCATATTTAGAGTACACTATACACTTACAAACATCTATACCGACACTATACATTTACAAACATCCATGCCTTCTCCGGGATTCGAATCCGGGCCCTTCGGCACGGCAGTCAGCGACGCTAACCAGTATACCGGTTGGGCGGCAAACGTTATTTTGTAAGGCAATAGTGAACTTTTAAGAATCAAAAAATCGAAAATAGAATACGAACTAGCCGAAAAATTCCTAAGCTTAAAATCATCCATGTTTAAGCTATTAGGATAGCGGGAAAACACTCTTACGTTAATATTATTTTATCTTTTTCCTCCCATCACGCACTTTTCTTTATGTACTGAATGAAAACTACCCGAATCAAGTGTAATACTCAATATTTCTTAAAATTGTGACACACAATACGCATGTCTTTCAAAATTACATTACACTACACAATGATTGCTGGTCCAAATAAATTGAAAGAATTTCCTGGTTCCATTCAAGTTCTTCGAAGAAAAAGAAAAAAAAAGACACTTTACCAAGAAAAAACTATAAGACAGAGTTCTATTCAAGACTGACACTACGACAGAAATTTTGAATTCCCTATTCATGGAAAGAAAGAATAGATTCTTATCAGTTTGGGATCGTACACGAGATACGCCTTTTAATCTTTATCGGTTTGTTTTGTTCTAGTACCTAAAACACTCTCCAATTTCTGTCTTCTGAATGGAGGGTTTTGCATGAAATTCATTTTTAAACTGGCACTGGGAATTGCTGCATGTTTAGAAGGAAATGTGTATTAGGGAGGTGTCTGAAGCATGACGTTTGTGCTAAATTTATCATGAAATATAATTACCTATAAACGTATAGTGAAATAAAAAAAATAGTAAAATTTTGTGAAACGGAAAAAGAACGTATGATGACGTAATACGTTCACGTATGGTGAAACTGAAAAAGAACAAAAATCATGCTTAATATTTCACATAATAATAATAATTCTAATTAACCTTTAATACGATTTTTTAAAATTGGAATTAATATTCACATTATTTGGTAGATATGACACTGTTAATAAATTCTTTATATGATTCCTCAAACAGTTTTTACACATTTATATGATGTAATCCATTATCGAATTGGATATAACGATTCAAACTTTCGCTCTCTTGAAAATTATTATAGCAGGTGTTTGATTGCAATACCTTTTGACATACGTAACAGTTTTTTCCCCCGTCTCTCTTCATCAAAGTGCAAGAGAGAAAGAGACTTTCATTCTTTAGGAAAGTGTTGCCTGAAGAGCAAAATGTTTAAGGAAATAAAAATAAATTCATTATATTTTGTTTAACCGGAAGTTTAAATATTTTATTCCTTTCAACTACAATATCTTTGTCGAAAGAAAGAACAATGATTTAAAAAAAGTGTTCTGATTAGCATGTGCAGTTGAGCTAGAGGAAAAAGTCAATTCAGTTATCCGAACTTTCAAATTTTTTCCACTGCCTGTAATATACTTACGCCGGATAATTTCAGTTCAGTGTATGTAGAGTTTCATAGTTCCTTTAATCGTTACTAGCTTTCTTTATTCATATTATATTCTTCAACTATTTGGCTGATGCTATAATTAGCATCATTATTTTAAAAGTATCCAGATTTTTCATGCCAAGAAGAATATTTAATCCGAACTACAGTGGATTTGAAATAGGTCTGATATTCCAATTATCTGGGATTTAGAGTCAATTTAATAAATTCTTCGTCTCCATTATGTATTGCATTAATACCTTACTTTCATGTTATAACAAATTTTACTTCTAATATGGCGTTTAAAGAAAACAACAGGAATTATTTATGCAATCAATACGAATAATAACAGCCTCGTACCTTGCCGTCTCCAGCGTAATGAAATCCATTATCAGTTGAGAAGACGAGAAGTTTTCTTGACTTATTCCGCCATCCAATTTCATCCTAAAATAATAGAAGTTTTATTGGTTAGTATCTTAATAAAGAATTCGCATATAAAGCAAAGAAACATCTAATATTAGCTTTCATTTGTCATATTGTTACCTAATGCCCAGCTGCGTTACGATAGCTTCCCCGCAAAGTGGGGTTAGAGCTACGAGAAAGTGGGAGGGGAAAGGCAGGGTTGCCAGATTTGGCGCGCGAAATCACTCATTTGGCGACAAAACTGGCGATATGCCATAGAACATTCTAGAGCGCATTCTTAGCGGTTTTCTCGAGAAAGTTCTCGAAAGTAGGTTAAAAACTATAATATACCCTGCCTGTAACGGAGTAGGAGAGTATGCTGAGTTCTGTAGTAGTATTTTGAGTTTGGATATCAGCCTAAGAGCGGCCGAATCGAGTCGGGAGCTTTACTTTAGTGCTTTGCCTTAAAGCTTGCAGTTATAGCCTAAAGGGTGTGTTGCGGATTGATTCAGCGTGTTTATCGTAGTTTTTTGGCGATTGTGAAAGTGTCTGCGGAATTGCCCTGTGTAATACTGAAGAATAAATTGTGTTTTGATTTTGCATCAAGTGCTGCAATTACTCACTCCAAATTCACGAACCCGTAGAACGCAACAATACATTTGAATGAGCAAGCGCAATACTGGATATTTTTGTTGATGAAATAGGAGAATGATACCATATGAGTTGAATAATCTCATCAGCAACATTGGATCAGCCACAAATTTAAAACACCGTACTCTTGGATAAAATAGTTTGCGGATTAGAATACTTTAAAAAGCTCTTAAAAACTGCTGAGGAGTAAGGAGGCGTTTAACCAAAACGATGAAGTAAACTATTATTGAATCGGTAATACGGAAATTATTCAATTTAAATACTTTTAAACAAAATTTTTATCGTTGTCTCATTAATAAAGATGCTCATTTCGCAATCAAAGACATATTTTATTACAGAAATTTGCAATAAAAAGAGCGAGATAATATAAATTCTCTTTTATATGCTTTAATTAAACATTCTGAATAATACATGGTTAGGAACTTTAAAAGTAGCCTATTTGCCATGAAGTAGAATCGATGCTTCTTGCTCATACGACACGCTAGTTTGGTAAAAGAGACACTCCTTTTGAAATCTATGCGTATACGCTGTGAGGAGGACAATAATCTCGTGTAAGTTGACATGATAAAGTTGTGAAAGCACAATATTCTCGAAACGGGAATAGAGAAACTGGAACTGAAACACCAGTCAAACGGTTGCGTCATTACGGGTCACTACGAAAATACGTAAGAACCTCAGCTCTTTGAAAATTATGGAGAATATTACGCATGACTGCGAGTGTGCTGTATTGTAGAGTCTTCTCGGGTGTTTTGGGAACATAAACTTGTAGACCCTGTAAAGTCTATGTCTCTTTAGGAAAATAAACTATAGACTTCAAAAGGACTATTGAAGAATTATCTTCTAGCCTTGTGAAACAAAACAGAAATCAGAAGAAAGGTGTGTAAGACCCTTTTATTCGAACATAACTTAACAAATGACCCAAATTGGGTTTGCATAAGCCAAACATGTCGGACTTAACAGACTACGTAACAAATAACAATTCCAAGGTGTGGTAGATTAGCCTAACGGTTCACAGAATACTTTAACGCGCAGAAAAGGCTCTGGTTTCTAGTAAACTGGCGAGACAAAGCTAAATGACTAGAAACACTCAATGCCGCTAATAATCACAGCACAACGTGTCCTGAAATAGGCAGACACGTTCTAAAGCTAACTTCCGAAATTCTTGCTTAAAAAGCACTTCTTTCTACCTTAAGCTGTACATAAACTCTCGTTATCTCATTTACATTTTGGCATTAAAAGCGTGGGTGAAAAGAAAGTAAGAGAAAAGTAGTCAAAATTAAACTTTTAGTTAAAAATAAATAGTTAAACCTCACATTCTTACTGAAAGACGAAGTAGCGAATTCTCGCTAGGTCTTGGAAGAACAGATGTCGCAGAAGAAGGTTTAAATAACCTTTTTATTTGAACTTAACAGAAAATGCGCGCAGTCGGTGCTCACAAATTTAACCACCACTTATGACTAAGTAACTTGCACACAAAATAGTATGTACAGTTACAATGAATTAAAGTTTAGCTATACGACTGGCTCCTACTCTACCTAAACCTACTAGACTAAATTATATCGGTTGCCACAGCAAAGCCAAGCCTAGAACATTAATGCAATCTAAGGTAAGCGGCTAGCACCAACTGTTTAACTACGCAATTACCTTCAGACACGCGGCATAAATTCAGAACTCTCTTATTTCGAACTCTTAAAGTTTGCTGCTTAAATACTGTTTCCGAACTCATTTAAATTTGCATTCTGGCAGAAATTTGAAATCAGAAGAGAAAGGAAAGTTTCTTAAAATAAAAATAATTGATTAAAACAAATATAAGATCTTTACAATCTTAGCAAATATCATTTCCCAAAAGACAGACAGTTAGTTTGCGGTTTTAATGTTCCTTTTTTTGGAATAAAATCTACGAAAGAAGCACCTACACTTTCTGCAGAGTCCTGTCCTCAATTTTTAGGATAGTGCTCCGGGAAATCTAAGGCAACTTGCTGCTCACATTTCACTTAATATAATAGCCGGAAAATATTCTATTACAAAGCATGTTCCCCGGATTTAATCCTCTATGATCATAATCCAACGCTAACATGAAGGAAAAGCTTCGTGATTTATTTTATGAACTGTCACAGATTCATTTTTGGCAGCAGACTATCTAAAATTATCGAGAACACATTTGAATCATCAATAAAACAGACGCTGCAACAGGTAAATTGAGACTTCCTTTCGGTAGCATTGGATTGAACCCTTAAACCAGTTACGACATTTATGCCACCGTTTGAAAGGAGCCGAAGCGACGTAAAGCGAATTATCGCTGTGTCTGGAACAATTACAGAGACTTAAGAAGGTTTAAAACAACCTTTTTATTTAAACATAAACGCACTTCGTATGCTTACATGTTCGTAAAAATTTAAATAACGGCAGCAAAATCGAATAATTACAAACTTAACCAAGATGGCAGGACTAATACAACGTGGCCTCGAGACGCTCTATCTTACAATCCAAAAACGTCAGATTAAATACTTTCTAACTGATTTATATTTCCGGTGAGGAAACGGAAAACAAAAGTTATAGTGAAAGCTGAAATTATAAATAACTGGATAGTGCAAAATAATAGTAACCTTATAAAGTATCCAAATTATTCTGAAATTTGCATTCTCAAAATAGCACTTTAGCTATTACAGTAACACATTTCATAAATCGAATATTTCCTTGTAAATTATTTGTTAAGCTTACTTTACAAACAATGGCTTGCATAATGGCATCGAGACCTCCTTCTGGGGCATCTAAGTTGCCAGATACAGGAGTTGCTTTGACTTTCCTAGCAAACTCATGTGTTTTGGAACTCAGTGGCATATCATTGTGAAAACCATAAGGAGCAGCACATCCAGCGCATGGTTCTCGAAGTCTGAAATAGAAAGCAGTTTTTCTTCCATTTATTAATGTTATGCAGCATCTTTTATGAATTAAAGTTATTTCATCAGAAAGTTAATAGATTTAAAAACAATATACAATATCGCCGCCCAATCGGGATAATGGCTAGCGTCGCTGATTGCTGTAAAAAAGGGAATCCCGGAGACGGCACTGATGCTTGTAAATGTATAGTGTCTGTGCGGCATGGGGGTACTCTAAATATGCGGCGAGCCGAAAGGCCTCTCGACAAGTTGATGGTAGAGGAAGAGAGGGTATGAGACTCTCGGATTCGCTCTCCCGGGGTGTTCTTCATCAAAATTGGAGGGGGCGAGAACTGAGCAAAGTCGTACTGTCTCCTGTATGGTGCTGAAGGCTGCTGCCAATGACAGGAGCAATCTTGCACTCTTTTCCACGAAGAACTTCGTGGTTTGTTTCGATGTTACTGTCAAACAAGTGAGACCCAACAGCAAACAATATCTGCGCAATTTAATGTACAAATAATGATAATTAATGATCTCGTTTTTATTTAATCACATAATCGTTCGGGAAATTATACACATGTTGTTATTAAATCAATACATTGTTTACGTTTACAGATAACTTACCGTCTTAGCCACTGACTGTTTTTGATGTTTTCCAAATTAGCAATAAAAATGCATATAATTTTTCATTGTGTTTTAATTCAATAGAAAAGCGGTTTTGCTTCTTAATCATTAGATTCTCATTCGAGATCTTACTTGCGTCAGAGAGAAAGTCAAAACAATCACTAGCCGAGAATATTTTAGCCTCATTACTTCAGTTTTCTTTTATCTCTAATTTTTTCTCACTGACTCATTTAGATATTCACATTTTGTGATGAAGGAGGCATTATTTCTGAATTCGAACGCAGCAACGGTGACGTGAACCTAAGACGGCTGACATGAACGCAACTTTTTAAGTTAAAGGTCTTGAGTGGTTGTAGTTTTTCGAGATATTATGTACACAGTGACCTTTCTCTTGTTTTGAAGGTTAAGTGTGCAAAATTCCATCAAAGATAGGAATAAAGCTATGCATTTGCATGAGTATGAGTTACACACAGACATACACAAACAAACAAACGAAGAATCTTCTTTATATATATATAGATGATCTGAATGAATCCAGCCAATGCCATTTCACGGGTCCACTTAGTAATTAATAATGATTTCTATGAATGTGCGTTTATTGATTTTAAATTGTTTAGTTTATTAATTAATAACAGAATAAATTTGAAAGAAAAATTATATATCTTACTCTTTGCTGAACCACCGTGGAACATAAAAATATTTTAATTTGTGTAATGGCAGCGCACTTCTTTTAAATTGCTGAGTTTGTTTATTAAATTCAAAAGGCAAATAAATATACTGCCAATAGCAACATACTTTTTTTATAATTTTTCTGATTAAGTTTGAAATATAAATATGTAGAGGCGAAATATAAATATGTTCGTGCTAATATATAAATATTAGCTTATTTTTATGCGGGAGACTTAAAAAAATGAGCAATGCCCTCATCGGGACACGAAGCACGGACCTCTTGAATACGCGCCGAGTTTGTTGACCACTACACCACGAAGGCATACTAAGAAGGCGGGAGAAATACCTTATATGCTCCCCCTTTTAAAGGGCGTCTGGGGATTAGGGTCTGAGGATTAGGGGACCCAATCGCCAAATCCTGGTGGTGCAGAATCATCATCCACCACCTTTTTTAGTTCGAACGTCACTGTACAGACACTAGGTTATTTCGAAGCAAGAAACTGAAAAATAATGAGCAATGCCCTCGCAGGCATTCTAACCATGAGCCTCTCGAATACGCGCCAAGTGTGTTGACCACTACATCACGAAGGCATGCTAAGAAGGCGCGAGAAATACCTTATATCTTAGTGTTGCAGAGTGTCAACAGAGAGATTTACCGATGACAGATGATACTAAGGAAGTTAGAATACATGAAGTAAGCATGACATTGCAAAAATGAAGCCAAGGGAATTACGATATTGTGACATCGACTTAATCATGGCCGACATATAGAGTGTGAGTAAAACTACAAAACATATTGTTAAATAAAACTATACTGAATTTGAAACAAAATATCAACGTCCTTTGGCTCAGAAAAATGTCGTTAGCCATTATTTGCATAAAATACCATTGTTACTTCCACTTCTAGGTCTTCTAGGTTTTATCATTTCCTATAATTTACATTTGCACATTTTCAGGCATAGGTTGATTTTATTGAATTTCAAACAGTTATTAATTTAGAAATCAAACAACAAAAATCAGCTTTATATTTGCAAATTTTCAGAGGACTAGTTTGCTGAAGGTAAAGATGGATTGGAATTAGGGTCTTAATTAATGTGTGGTTTAATTAATTAATTTAATTAAACCACGCTGGCAAGGAATCCTGTAAATACTCCAGAAATTCATATCCGGAATGGAGCCCTAAAGTATGGAACTCGGAATTTTATTGATAGGAGAATAAACGACCCGAAAGTTAAATTTATGTCAAATGTGTGTAATTTTATAGCTAATTGATGGAAAGCAAGGAATGGCAATAGAATTCTTATAATCTCTTAAAATAAGAGTGTGCCTTTTGGTGTGTTGAGGTGAGAATTTTTTAACTGCTTGGTTAATAACGTTGAGTGAAAAGCCCCAATAGAAAAGTGTCAATAGCTACTGCTTTTAAATAAATTATTTCTTGATCAAGAGCCAATTTGGAGGAGCAAGCTTGAAGTGCATGGAACACAAAGGAATAAAATAAGCTAACTTAAGGGGGCTCATACGCCTTAAACCCCTCATGATCTTCGAATATGTGACTGTTGCAAGAATTGGGATGTTTTATTTATTTTAAAAGCAATTACTTCCAACCTTTTACAGCTGACTACATAATATAGCTGCTTTGGAAACTAGTAACCAGAAATTTTATGTTGCCACAAATATTTTTGCAATTTAATCCTCTTTGAGACAAAATATTTCGCCATGTTTCCACCTTGCGCGCACGATATTTTAAAAATGGCTAACGGTACATACTTCAAATTTGATGGAATTCTTTATATGGGCACTATTTTCTAACTGATCCAAAAATCTGATGAATATTTTAATATTGAAAAATTTTATGGACGAAAACATTAAAAATTTTTTTAATAAAGTACATTTTATAAACTCAACTCACAATAAAATAAAAATTTAACATGAATTTTTTTAGAATTTTAGGTTTACAGTAGTTTCCAAAGGTTTTAAAGGCTATATATTAAATATGGAATTAAATTATGCAACAGAATGTTTTAAACCGTGCGCGCAAGGTGGAAATATGGCGAAAAATGTTATCACAAAGCGGATTAAATTATAAAAATATTTGTGGCAACACAAACTTTCTGATGACTATTTCAGAAAGCTGTTATATTATGTAGTCAGCTGTAAGAAGTTGGAAGTAATTGCTTTTAAAATAAATAAGTTATCCCAATTCTTGCAACAGTCACCTATTCGAAGATCATATAGGTTTTAAGGTGTATGAGTCCCCTTAAGGACCCCATTCCATACTTAAGGACTTCCATATTTCAAGATCCCATTCCGGATATGAATTCCTGGAGTATATACAGGATTCCTTGCCAGTGTGGTTTAATTTACATTGTTCAAACTAGAGCCTTACAATATAGCGTTAAAGAACATGAGGCATATGTTAGAAAAAAGGAAACACAGAAGTCCTCTGTTGACCAGCATTGTTGGCCCGAAAATCGCACTTTTTATTTTTCTGCAACCAAAATTCTTCAAAAAACATGTTCCATTAGTGAAGGTTTTTCTAAAGGCGTTTCACATTCAAAAAAAAATTCTGTTCTAGTTAACGACCCTAATTCCAATCCATCTTTATCTTCAGTCTTTAAGGAAATTATGTTTTAGTTTCCTTGTTTCATCATTAGATGGCGCCAGTAGCTTAACATACTGGCTTAACATACTTAAGCTTCATATCTTAGTAGCTTAACATACTTAACATACTTAAGCTTCCTGTCCAGCCATTTTTAACTTATTTTATCTTATCACTATATCTTAACTCGTTCATTGCTTTGGCAGCTGAGGATGATGGTTCGGTAAAACCATCGAAACTAGTCCTTTGAAAATTTGTAAATATAACTCTGGATTTTGTTGTTTGACTTCTAAATTAGTATTTGTTTGACGTGTTATTTTAACCTAAATTACCTAAATTTAAAACAGTTATTTGCAATACTTGTGATTTTTTTGGATAGAAAATCATTTATATTTAGTATCAAAATTAGAACGGGAGACTTATAAACATTCATGATGAAAATATATAAACATGGTGAAAGCTAGCGTGTAGACAACACCGATTAGAATGTAAGCAAAACCAACCAGAAATTCGCTTATGGCCACGGCTATGATAAGCCGTCATACCGTAACGTTTTATGGCTTCATTTTCATTGCACGGGGCATACGGAGGAGGCTTACTCCATTTTATCTAACCTCCTTAGATGATGCACGTCCTTACCACGTAATATTGTCAATTCTGAGGTAGCACTGAATGCTACAACACTAGTAAGGATAGATATAATAAACCTGTCTGATAGCAAAATAAATAAATTAAACAATGGGATAGTATTTTAATAACAATTTACTTAAATGTTTTTATGATTACAGTTCGCAGTATGATATATAAACTGGCAAGGCTGGTGCTAAATATTTAAATGTTCTTTTTCTGGATACAAATATTTTACAGATTCGTCATTTTGGCATGAAGGGCCGATATTACTTTACAATATCCTAAAAGAAGCATTCCATAAAAGTTACATTTGATATTTTTAAATAATAATGGCTTACTTGTCAGGATGCGTATTGACATACGGGGCCGTAGTTTTGTCAACGAAAGATCCAAATCCTAATCTGAAGTTGTTCGTAATAGTCCCCATTTCTGCTGCTAACTTGTTTCCCAGTTCAGCTAGTTTATCTTTGTCATCGGCCATTGAATTTGACAAATCCATGAGGTAATAGAGATCAACGGGATAGTCTACTGCCTGTCGAAACTCTAATTTAAATTTCATCACGGAATCTACAAATAAATATAACTGGAGTAATAATAGATGAAAAGCTCAAGTGTTTATATTTTTCGAAGTAAACGATTAAAATTCATTTACAGAATTGTCTCTTTTAGCAGTGAAACGAAACGCACAGCAAAGAAGAATATGTTTTACTATACATAAGTGTAGGGTAAAACACTTATGAATAGTAAACATGAGTTTTACCATACAATAAGTGTTTTTACAAAATTAATGTTTCTTAACATTAAATATATATATATATATATATATCTTTGTTAAAATTATTTATTAATTAATAACTAAATACTGACGTCATTAAAATTTTTCATTGTGATAAAACCACTCTAACTAAAAAAGAAGAATATTTTCAAGAATGACTGAAATGAAAAAAAAAGTTATTGCTTATATTTATCAAGTATAAAATTTTTTCATAGCTCAGTTATCTTATCCTTTTTAATTATAGTATCGATTACCGAGGTTTTAACTAAGATCATGAGATCTAATCGATTGCCTTGTGACCGGTACACGCAAATTCATTACAATCAATTCAATCAATCTGTTTAATTGATTACAGTTAAACATGTAAATGTTACCTGTTTAAAAAGAAAGATACTTTCGTGAAGGACATTCAAGGAAAACTAGCTTACATTCACGTTACTCAACTAATTAACTTGTAGAGATATTAGGCATTTTTTTAAAGTAGGAGAGATGAAAAATGAGCAATGTCCTCGCCGGGACTCGAACCACGGAAATACGCGCCGAGTATGCTGCCCACTACACCACAAAGGCATGCTAAGAAGGCGGGAGAAACACCTTATAAACTTAAGAAAATTAAGACTTATAAACAAAGAAAGAACCTTATAAACAAAGAAATAACTCTAAAATTTGTAATGCATAAATTTACTTTAACATATGGCAGAAAACCTTTCGAAAATCACTAGATTTGGCTTTGAATTCAGTCTCATGATAGCACTGATTTTAGAAAAGTCCCTATATTATTTGTGAAGAATAGTAAACTGTTTTTTTTTTTTTTTTTTCTTCGGAAGGATTTTTTTTATAATGAAAGAACTTATGTTATTGAAGGAAAACGTCAGTGTAGTAAAAGACAACTTAAAATAATAATTAATTAAAGTACCATTGCTCTTCATCAATATTTGAGCACCTCTGATAGAAAACTAAATTTTCCGTTATATTCAATTAAAAAAAACTCAATCTGTTTCTTAATTCAATAGAATATTATATGTTTCGAGAAAACCCATAAGGCTCTCTCTTCTTGAATTCTCTTCGCCTTTATTGTGCTCAATCTTACCCAAAAATTTCATTCCTCATAAAAAATAAAAAATAATAATAATAGAAATGTAAAAATAATAAAAATTAATAAAAAAAATCTGCAGGTTTCAGATTTTAAATTACGTCCAAATGGACGTTTTTAACGTTTTGTGTGTTACCTTTATTTATTAAATATCATGTTCTTTGCACTTAAACCATAAAATTCAGTTCAATAGCAATGTCGCAAAACAATTTAAAAATGAGCCTATCTTTAGAATTTCCGATACACAGTTCCGCGCGCTGGAGATAAAAAGGTTCTTTTTCCCCCGTAGAGTCTTGCCATTGCTCGCTTTGAAATCCTTGAGTTTGTTAATAAAAAATTCGTTAAAGCTTTACAAAATATGAAATCGATAATATTATTAGTTCATATAAATACGTGAAACGAGCATTTTAGCGGCTTTTGGTGGCATGTTTACAACATTTTACTGATACTTTGTGGGTCCTATAGCTTCTAAAAGCATGATCCTCTGCCCCTAAGTTTTCACAGTTTTTCTACTTGTGACATACGCTTTCAGAAAATGTATGGGTTTCCGAAAAACAGGTATCAAAGGAGAGTAGTTTTACTTGTGAGCATAAATAAAATAAATGAAATTCTACTATATTCAAAATGTTTATATTCCCTCTCGGAAATAAACATCTGCGATAATAGAAGAAAAAGGGAAACTAAAATTTCTTTTACACCAGCTCATTTAGATACTAAAATTTATTAATGATAATAACAGCAAATTATTCTAAATCTGAGCCCTCATAAAACAATACGAAATATAAATCTGACAAATCTCATAGCTAAATTATTTTCTAATTACATTTCTCTCTTAAATAATAAAAGAACTTTTTCCTTACTTGGTCTTAGTTTCAGTCTTATTTCTTGGGGTTTAACTTGTATAGCTTCGCTTTCCTTTGCTCCTTTGTCGCTCAAATTCATATCCTAAAAGAGAAAAGTCTATTGGAATTACTCGCTATTAGTTTATCCTAAACTTAAACATTTTAAACACCCTTTTGCTACGAAATCAGTACAGAAAAGGAATGAACACAAATTCATTAACTTGTTATTCATTGCTAAAAGCCAAAGGGCCCACCAGCGGCCGACCGGTAAAGTCGCTGAACTCTGGTAGTTCGGTCCGAGGTTCGAATCCCGCGAACGGGCTGGCTGCATGGGCGTTTTCGTGGTTTTCCCCATGTGTAACGTGTATACGAGCCAGTTTCCCTTAGAAAGTCCTCCACGAAGGCATCCCTCCTCTTAGGCAGATAGCCCTCGAGGCTTTGCCATAATTATACACACACACACACACACACACACACGCTAAAAGCCGAATATTAATCAGTTCAAGAGCTTTAATCTGAGCCTGCTCTTGATTTTTTCTCGTTAAAGCTGTGGAAGGAAAATGCATTAATTAAGCAAACAAATAAAGAATAATGAGTCGCGTGAAATTTAAGGATAAGTCGGCGGGCCTGTGGCAGAAATAAAGCTGATGGTTGATGCTATTATTATATTTATTTCCTGAAAGCTTAATGCTGTATTTTCTGTGATATATTTGAAGTCAAAATGTTAAAGAAGCATCACTTTGGATTCACTTCAAATTACCATAGTTTGAAGGCATGTTTTGATTTACCTACAGTATGGTGAATAGTATAACTGCACAGTTTGAAGTAAATATCTGTGAGTTAAGCACATTTGAAAGCAAGTCATAGAAAAGATTATGTAACTATTTCCGATACACAGTTCCCCAGCCAAGATGGTTCCCGAAATAAATGTTTACGTTTGGATACATAAAGGTATCATGTGTTTTTTCCCCAAAGTAATATATGTATAATAATACACACTCATGTTGCCTGGGTATGTAGATATTTGACAAAAGCTACTCGCTCCGTTTTGAAGTCGACTGCCAGTTACAATTTTATTGCTTGTAGGGTTTATATTTATTTTAACTAACATTTATTTTAAGTTTAAACTATCTTTCCTGTCAAGCCTTACTTTCCCCTGGAACTGCCAATGCCACAATATGTAAATTTTAGTAGAACGCGCAAGGATTCAAATTATCAGCGGAAGTATTATGATTTAAATAGGAAGGAAACGAGTTCGGTGTGTGATATTCTTACTTCACGAGCGCGGAGGTAGTTAGCGAGAAATTGAAGAACCCCGCGTTTCGGCCTATGTGCTTGGCGGGAAGTAGTGTTAATCGTTCAAGTGAGCTTCAAGTCTGCTGAATTAGCAGCGGTGTTGTAAAACGCGGTGAGTTAATTATTTTAGAGAGCCTCGTAGTTAGAGTCTTGTCTTTAAGTTCTTTTCAGGTTATTATTTTTATTTGACCGCCGAGTTGGCACCGTCTGTAAGCGTCAAGAGCACGCAATTGTAATTTATTACGTTGAATAAAAAGGGACTTAAACCCTTTACAAGACTCTGTGTTTTATCCTGTTTTCACAGTCACCTCTTGGTTGCGTGCAAGTTGGAGGCACGCAACGTTACATGCTTTATATGATTTCTGAAACTTAAATAAGCTCTGACTAGTTTTACATAGTTTTATACTTGTATTCTCTGTTAGTTCATCTTTATTGGTTCTTTCATTGAATCTTGGAATTAATTTTTAACTCCCATTATCAGACCTAGTTTCAAAAAATTTTCACATGTATGTAATTGCAAAAAAATATTATGTTTCACATGCATATTTTCAAAATTTAACTCTTTATTTTCTATTATATTTATTTTAGTTTATTGTTTATTTATTTTACTAATTTTTTTCACACATTCTTGCTTCACGGTAAAATTTATCATGGTAGAATTTTAATCTTCATACCATTGAATAAATCGAAAAAACTTCAAAGCGGAATTTTTTCGGAATTGAAAAATAATTTACTGTGTTTTGACTTTTGTTCTAAAAATCTTTTCCGTACTTCTCTCCGTTGTTAACTATTAAAAGTTTTTTTTTTTTTTTTTTTTTTTTTTTTTTTTTTGTTTTTTTTTGTTTTTTGTTTAACTTTAAACAGGTTTTTCGATACATAACAAGGTTTTATTTCTTCGTATTAAAAACATTCCCTTGGACTTAAGTGATGATGATTTCGGATTTCTAAAGCAAACATGAGTTTAAATTAACTGAATGTGAATTTACGCCATCAAACAGATCGGAAGATCTTGAAAAGAAATAGTTTCACGCTCTCGGCATTGCTGCAATGCATTCAAATTTAAATCTTATAGTTTTCTACCTGGAAATTTCAAAGTACTTTCTCGTTCCCTGAAAGTAGTAATATTCGTATATTTTCAAACATCCCGAGATCATTCAGCTTTATGTTTTAATGAAAAATTACCCGATAACCATGTTAACTATCAGACGAAAGGAGAACAAGTTACAAAAAGAATATATCAGTTATAATTAAAAAAAACTTTTATTGAATAAAAATATTGAAATTAAAATAAGAATTCAATAAAAGCCTGTCTTAAATAATTCATGAGATAGCCTCAAAATACGGACTTAATAACTAAAACGTTGCTACAGATGCAGCATGACAATGAATGTTATTGTCCAATTCAGAACTTATCCAGCCCTTTTAATAAAGATGTATGTTAAGATTTTCCCTGTTTTGGCCGGTTTTTTACATGAATATCGAAAATAATATCATTACCAATTATCCTTCCTCCTCACTATTTGGATAATTGATTCTGCGTGATTATGTTAACACAGATCAGATTTTTTTCAGTGATAAAATTTATTCTTTGCTGTGCATATTTTTCAAGAGAAAAATGCTCAATGCTCAAAGGCAAATGTTATTGATAAATGAGATCTGTCTCCTTCAGAAGCAAATTATTTTTTCCAAGCACACACGAAATATGAACTTAGACATTAAAAATATGTTATATTTCAAACAACTGAAGCTCCTTATTAAAAAAAAAGTAAATGAAAAGAAATAAAGAAAAGAAAATAAACTTATAGGGAATAAATTATTAGCCCCAAAAGGGACATTAGTCCAGAATAAGATGTTAGTCTCGAAACGGCATTTTGCGTTGAATCACTATAAACGGCGTATCACTTTTCAAGTTGTTGCCATTAAATATTACCGCCCTGTATTATATTAAATAAATAAAACTATAAATAATCTGCATGAATGTATGGATGTTTCTCGCATTGTGAAAACTCAACGCTATCTAAAGTCATCAAATTTTGAATAACTCCAGCCGAACGTTTGCACCTGGAAGCCCGAATTTTGAATTTCGAATTTTTCTTATTATCCATTTCATATTTTGCAAATATTTAACGATTTTTTGACAAAAAAAAACTGAATGATTTCAAAGCATGCAGAGACAACATTGTACGGATGAAAACATTTTTATCTACATTGCGAAAGACTGTTTAGAGGAAATTATATGCTGTTTTTTAATATTTTGTGATTTTGCTGTTGAATCGAATTTCATGTGGCATAAAGTCCAAGAACGTGATTTTAACATTTTGTTTGTTTCTTTTATTTATTAAATATCACGTTCTTCTCACTTAAACCATAAAATTCAGTTCAAAAGCAATATCGCAAAATAGTTTTAAATTGAGAATATCTTTAGAATTTCCGATACAGAGTCTTGCGCGCCGGAGATAAAAATGTTTTTTCTCTACAACGTTGCCATTACTCGCTTTGAAATCCTTGAGTTCGTTAATCAAAAATTCGTTGAAGTTTTACAAAATATGAAATTGCTAATAAAACAAATTCCAAATTTCAAATTTGGGCTTCCACATGCCCATATTCGCAGTAGGATTACGTCATTGAAAATTCGATGGCTCAATGTACCGTTGTTTTATCACAATGCGAGAAATATACATACATTTATGCAGATTTTTCATTAATTAATTTCTTCAAATGTAATGCAGGACTCTAACATTGGGTGGCAATAGTTTTAAAAATGAAACGGACATTTATGGTGAATCAACGCAAAATCTCAAAACGATAGTCCTTCAGGGACAAAGCCCCTTTGGACTAAAAGGAAAAAGACCAAAAAAAAGTTTTATAAAGCTATGTTAGTAAGGAAACTGAACATTGATATGATGAGCTGGAAAAAAAAAACAGAAAAATATGTTCCAAAACTTAACGGTGCATCTGGAACTCTAAACGTACACTGCCATACTGCTTTTAAACTTTTTGTAATTTTGCTGCTGAACTGTATATGGCGTAAGTGCGAAGAAAATTATGCTTAATAATTATGCTTAATAAAGCCAAAAAGACAAAAAAATTGATTAATAGGAGTGAGTGTAAAAGCAGACTGGTAGAATGCGATCTCAGCGAGAGCGTAAAAACCTTAACAAACCATTCTGGGCGACCGTCAAAATCTGAAAACTTTCAAATTTATTTATAGAAATTGTGATAAAAAAATATGCTTTAATTAATACAATTTAATACAGAGGACTGAAATTTAAAGTCAATAGTTAATAGTTCTCATTATAGTGCACTATTTAATCTCTTGTTATTCATTAATATCATGCAGATGGCACTGCTATTACGAGACCAGTTTATTTTAGTTGATCGCATACTACTCGCTCTTTGCGACGCGATTGTAAGTTTTGTTTTTCGCTGTGATTCGTAACATATTTTAAATGCTTGAGAATGAAAAACGCCATTTCATAGGATCCACTGCTTATTATTGTTATTTCTCATGGCATTCTTTTTCGACCGTCGAGCCGGAAACCCTATAAGTTTTTATGCGAACAGAAATTATCATTGCTAGTTTTGATTTCGTATGCTACGAAAGTTGTATAAGCCTTTCTCTGTTTCTTTCGTTTTTTCTTTATTAAGTACTTTCGATTTGTATATTCGTGTGCCACGCTTCACTTTGGAATCTTGTGTTTCTACAGCGAACATTTGTTTGTTATCGCCTGATGTATAATATGCGTTTTTTGTATTAATCAAACAAATTTTGATTCAGCTAATTGGTGCTGAAATATTTGAGAACACGCATCTGCTGTACAAATTAAAGGTGAGTCATCTTTACCTTTTCCATAATGGATATGAAACCACTATTAGTAACGAAAGGAATCCCTAAAGAAAATTTAACGAAATTGGAACATAAAATAAATTTTGACATTGCTAATACAAAAGGGGCAAAAATCGAACTTTTCATAAAGAAATTGAATAATTTAAGTGCAGATTTTTCAGGCATTTTTGATAATATTTATGAGACATATGAGCAGAAAGAAGTTGATATCTATGTTGTAGAACATCAAACTGTTGAAAATACAGCTGATGACGTCTACTTAGATTTAGATTAAAAACATTCTCGCATTGATAATGCTAATTCGGTTAGTGTTAACCCAGATAGTACCGAATTAAAAGTGGTGAATTTAACTTTACATACCTTCAGTGTACACAATACTAATAAATCATCAGACGCTCAAAGGCTTCAGTATCTTAAGAACTCTTATAAGGCTGAAGCTCTAAAAATAATTCAAGCTAAGCTCTAAAAATAATTCATATTGTAGATTAAAATTATAAAATTGCTTGGAATTTACTTGAAAAGAAATTTCCGAATAAACGAGAGCTGATGAATGCATTAATTAAGAAGCCTTTTACATAGCCAAATATTGCAGATTCAGTGGACGTTATTTAGAATGCGTTTGTTCTTTAAGTGTTCCAGAACAAAGGGTTGAAGGCTTTGGTGATACATTGTTAACTCATTTATTTGAAGAAATATTGTATTAATTTACACGCAAATTGGTATGAGACACAATTAAAGGGCGATCAACTAGGAAAATTAAATAAATTACTTAGTTTTTTAAGAGAACATGCTAGAATATTTCACAACAGTAAAACCAATTTTAAGAAAAGGAAAATGAAGTCAAAAGTCGTATTGTTGGTATGAAAACTACTACAAATTGTAATTTTGGTAATAAATAAATAAATAAATAAATAAATCTGAAATGTTTCAGATTTTAAATTACGTCCAAAGGGGCGTTTTTTAACATTTTGTGTGTTACCTTTCTTTATTAAATATCATGTTCTTCGCACTTAAACCATAAGATCCAGTGCAACAGCAATATCGCAAAATAGTTTTAAAACGGGCATATCTTTAGAATTTCCGATACAGAGACTCACGCGCTGGAGATATAAATGTTTTTTCTGCACAACGTCGCCATTGCTCGCTTTTAAATAGTTGAGTTTGTTACTCAAAAATTCGTTAAAGTTTTACAAAATATGAAATCGATAATAAAACAAATTCCAAATTTCAAATTTGGGATTCCAGATGCCCATATTCGTAGTAAGATTACGTCATTCAAAATTCGATTGTTCTATGTACCGTTGTTTTATCACAATACGAGAAATATACATACATTTATGCAGATTTTTCATTATTTAATTTCTTCAAATATAATGCAGGACTCTAACATTTTGTGGCAACAGTTTGAAAAGTGAACCGACATTTATGAGTCCGACGCAAAATGCCAAAACGAAAGCAATAGTCCTTCGGGACTCAAGTCCCTTTAGACTAAAAATCGTAACCCCCCCCCCTTTTTGTGCTTAAAAATAAAAGAATATAATTTCATACAGTCTGCTTATTATTGTTATTTTCAATCGCAACGTCAGCCCTTCTCACAAAAAAATTTCTCCCTGTTTCTCTGTTCTTTTTCTTCTGTTTTCGTTAACTTAAACTAATGCTACACTGGAAGTGTAGCATTAGTTTAGATGCGAAAATTCAAGTTCAAGCATGTGAATCTTTTATTTGCATTTTATAGGTTGTGAGAATTAATCTCGCAATTTATTACTTTAAAAAATGTATTTCTTGATTTAAAGGAGCTATTTTCTTTAGGTCACAGCTCATTTTCAATATACTTGAAAATTTAAATTTCTCACAAGCGAGGCATAGCTTTATTCATTTACTCAGTAAAGCGGAATTAATTTAAATAGCAAGTCTTCTTTGTATGAAATGTTTATTTTTCTTCCACATTGCAATATTACTTGAAATGCAAAAGAAATGTGACTGAAAATTGTGTTCATAATAAAAATCATATAAGTATGCTTTCGTTTTTGAGTAAATGAAATTTTTACCTTTAATTTTTTTATTTCATCATTTGGCGACACTACATTGTTGCAAACTTTTCTTAAATTCTCTGTGAAATCACATCTTGTGCCAGAAAAATCCTAAAAAGAAATGAGTTAATTTTCCATGGAGAACAAAATATGAAAAAGAAGAAAGATTTATCATTAAAACAAAAATAACTACTATTTTACGATTTATTTCACCTGGATTATTCGGAATATACTTAAGCTCTATCTTATCTTCTTTTCAACATCAGTAAATAATACGATTTTTTATCATTACGTAGTATAATTTAAAAAAAATTAGATTTATTACAGCTGTAGACATTGTGAATATATTTGATAATCAAGACGAGTAGAGTTTTACTCGTCTTGGTAAAATATACTAAGTCAAGAATCGAAGTAGAACTAAGCGACTTATTGCTGTATCTAGTTAAGCAAACAGAAACGTAGCACCAAACAACATAGCACCAAAAGGTGCAGCTCCAAGCAACTGGAAAATGCACACAAGAAGGGAAGGTTCTTGTTGCTTAGAGCCTGCATGTCAAGTCTTAATGTCTAATGACTGAAAGTCTTAAGTCTACGACACTGACTCTGAATTTGAGCTGGCCGATTGTAATCTGGTTTCATGCAAGGTATCAGTCAATATGTCGCCTTTATTAGTATTTACAGCATTTTGGAATAATACAGTAGCTCCACTAACGCATTCCCTTTATGAGAGAACCTTATGTAATGCACTCAGACCAATCAAGTAAACTTGGAGCTTTGTTATTTGATGACCCATAATATCAGTCCTGTCAGATCATTGTAATTTGTAACTTCCTACATAAATAACCGACTCGGGGCAAGAATGGCTTCTGAAAATGTACATTTCTTCCCTTTCCCTTCTCAATCAGGATCGCTTTAATATTTCAGACATTTGATCTTTAACAAAAAGCCATTATCTTTTAGTCAAAGAATAAAAATCATGACTTATTTCTATGTGATTATACATAGTAATTAATGTGATTTCTATTTGATTATACATATTTTTTCCTTATCAATAACAAATTATGTTCCTTTTCTGTCTAGAATTCAGAAAACACATAACTTCAAATCAGATACAATTCCGAGTATTTATAAGCATACAGAGGATGTTCCAAAGAGAAAAAAAAGGTGACATCGTATTCGAGGGGTTCAAAGAAAGAAATACCGTCGTTTCGGATTGGTTTTGATATACAACTTCCTTCAAGAGATATGCGATTTCAAAATCCCGTGACGTCGCTTCCGGCTGGACGAATGAAGAAACATCTATAACTTATTTCCGATAATATTCTCTCCGACTATAGATTGCCACAATTGAAACTCACCGATTCCATCTTTTGCAATCAAATAAAATCAATTATGTAATAGGAGCCCTTGAAGAGGAAGGGTCAGTTAGCCATTGTCTATATTCAGTGTCAAACATCTTTGAATACAGATAATCCATAATACAACTGCACAACTTCTTTCTCATCTGTGTCAATAATCAGCAGTTTGAGCACTTATATGCGATTTATTGTAGGTGCTGAAATTGTAATGACGTCACAGTATACTTTCATCATTTGACCGAAAATAACATTATGGGATTTTGAAGTAGCAATCTCCTAAACGACGCAAAATACCGCAATCATTCCAGCTACAAATTACCTCTTCTAACTTCCCTAGTATGCCCTTCGCACGTTAACATGGATGAAAAAAGATAGAATAGAATATTCGTTAGCATAACAGTGAATAAAGCTTATAAAGTTTAAAATATATTTGACTTACTTCCTGCCAACACCATGCACAGAGGGGACTTTCAGTTATACACTCGCTGCAAGTTTCTTTCGCAAGGCATTGGTTAGCGGTAGCTTCTACAAATAAAATGATTTAGCTATAAAGAACAATTATTTAAGCATTTGAAATTACAGAAATTAGATCCCAGAAACAAACAGCAATCCATTAAGAAGGATATATTCGAAAGATTTGTTTCAAAAGCACGCATTTAAAATACTCAACTTCAAACTTTCCTCTTGCTTACAAAATAGAGACATATGTTTAGAAATTTATTTTAATATTTTTATCAAGGATATAACATGTGGGGACAAACTCAGGCAGGTGACAACAGATATGAAGAGTAACAATAACTGCAGTGACACACGCCATCATAAACTACGCTTAGTCGGTAAAAATCCTAAAAAACCTTAACGCAGAGTCTGACTTCGATATGGCACCAAAAAAAAAGTCCAATTAATAAGAAAACATTTTGTTTCTTAGCGCGTTTACAACACAACCTGTAGTACCCATTACAGTAAGTCAATGAAAAATTATTAGAGGTGTTATTGGAAGTGATGCTCGCTTTCATGCACAGCGCAGAGCGAAGGAGGAACGATTGTTAGACCTGCTGCAAGATACCGGGAGAGCCAATCTCTGTCACAACGATGACCATCTTCACTTTAAGATCCTGAAGCGTCTCTAGAGGCATCTTAGCAAGCGATTAAAAATCTTCTCAAAAGAAGAAGTCTAAGGGATTCTTACATACTTCCCAGGATATGTAGCATGGAAGTGGTTACTTACCGTACTGTAAAAATATGCTGAGGCTCCATCATGCATGAATCCCATGTCTGTCTGCAATGCGACTCATGGCCGTCATGCTATTCGGGCATTTTGACAGAAAGTACTGCCCCAACACATAATCACTGAGGATGCCTGTCCACATGTTGAAACTGAATCTATTTTGACTTTTTCAAGAAATGTTAGTGTGGGGATTTTTCTATCGACCACATGTTTGCTGTTGTCCGTGCTGGCTACGCCTTATCACGTAAAGCTGGCCTAATGAGAGAATAAAACCAGTGGCAGGAAATTGTGCATTATTCCTGCTGACGTCAATTACCTAACGCCAATTAATGGGTATAGTCCTTATCGACAGGAAATCAGCAAACCGTTACCGCACAAGTTCTTCCTCTAAGCATTGCGCGAGTCCTAAATCCCAACTTGCTCTCTTGGACTTGAGGGCCCTTGTCTTTTGTAGCTGTCTATTGATCTTGAAGAAGGTGGTGTGGTGGAATATCTGCTCTGTTAAGCATTTACTTACACGTGTTCGACCATAAATCAAATGCATATCAACATATTCCTTGTTCATGTTGTCATCCATATCATTCCGGAATAAAAGAAGCAAGTAATAGTTCCGTATTACTGCATCGCAGTGGCGCCGTCTGCCGTCATCCCCCGCAGCTCGTAATTCAGCTCCAGTGTATGCAATAAACGGGTTTACAACACCATATTCAGTGACAATTATTGTTCCTCTTGATGCCTATTGTCACCCATATGACATTTTAAAATTACGTACCAGTTTTTTTTTTTTTTTTGTTTTTTTTTTTTGCATAACTGAATTAAGCTGCGTATGCTTAAAGATTAACTTGAGCATAAAATCAACATAGATTTACAGAAATATGTGTTATTTTAGGAATGATATTATGCCTATATTTAACTACCGAACTTTATGATCAAAAACAAAAAAATTTTCATTTTTGTCATTTGAAGTTATATAAAATAATTTTATTTTATTTCATCAATTTAAATGGAACACAGGCCGTTTTAAAAGAGGCAATAGAGACCATTTGGCAGCACAATTAACGATATCATGCTAAAATCAGAATCTGAGTTTTTTGTTATTTTTTCTCTAAATGGAAGTTTTAGTCGTTTTTCAGTGTTCAGCAGAAAAATGAAAATATTTATCCGCATATTCTGTGAAGTATGTATGAGTTACAATTCTATTTCTCTAAAGTTTTAAAAGTTTCCTTTTTAAGTGCACTTATCTATTAATAATTTTTCAGTTTTGGTCTGATGCTAACGATATGCTTTCATTTAAACACTAAGCATACAAATTAAGCACGAATGAAATAAAGTAAGCTATTTCTTTAACTGTGCATAGTCGTGCTTAATTTATCCAGTAATTGTTTTAAATATGACAAACATCATGCAAAATGTTATTTAGCTTTAACAAAGAAAATGTTCTAAATAGCAAAATTTAATAAATATTCTTCATATAAGCTGATTAAGTTTACTTACCATGTTTCAAATTCTGAATAATAAGTAAGGTAAAAAAGATATGTTTTGGTAGATGTATCTGAAAACAAAAATATGATTAGTTACATTAGGGCTTATCAATACATTAATAATTTAATACAATATTCAATGAAAATGTGAAACATGTAATATTCAATGAAGATAAATGATATATTTTGAAGTATTCATTATATTGTAAGGATTGTTTTTTTATTTTAAAAGTTATTTTTAATTTTTAAACTCTTTCCTTTAAATTGTTGTTTCCCTCCTACAACTTCCTGCCAGAATGAGATTTCAGTATCGCATTTTCTGTAAATGAAGTAGAACTAGTATTTAATGGGAAGTTCAGTCACTTCCGTAGGAGACAAAGAACATGCCTTTACAAAGTCTTCCTGCGGAAAAGACTGCCAAAGCAAAGGCAAGAAAGAAATAATACCTCTGATCATCTGCCCCAGACAAAAGGTGACGTGAAAAGATATTAGATGTCTTTTCTTTAATCATAAGATACTTTACGGGACAACGGTCCAGAGAAAAGATCGTTATTTACTTAGACTCTAGTGCTATGCGAGATAAGGCCTTAACCTGCCTTATGAGAGAAGAAATACAGTTTAGCACTTTCAGAAGTACAGTCTCCCAATCAAAGCAGTCATCGGAGGTCTTCCTGGTAACACTATGGAAGAGGATATCTTGTCGGAACAGGACTTTCCAGTGTTAAAAATTAAGCAGTATACCAGCAAAACTCCCGTAAAAGAAGAGAAACTCCCTATTTTCTTCATGTTATTAAGCAGCACTTATGAATTCAGGAAAACTGACTCTCTCAAATGTATTCAGGGACTGCAAGTGAAGATAAGACGTTACCGCCAGGATAATCGTCCTATTATGTGTTTCAGATGTCGTTACGGACATGGTCAAATGTTTTGTAACAGCAAACATAGATGTCCCAAGTGTGGTGAAGATCACCTACCTATACTTGTCTGCTACTCAAAGACGCGAGGCCGGCTTGTGTGAGATGCAAATCACAACACACTCTTTCTTCCAAAGACTGAATCTTTTTTTTTTTTTTTTTTCAAAAAATGCGAAAATTTTCATCATCAAAGACACCAGGTCTTACTAAGACTGAAAAAAACCTACTGTACTGTTCCAAATAATAGGAAAGTGCAGCCTACTATTATCGCACCATACCCTCTTCGTTTCGTGCAAAGAACGCTTTTGCTGACAAAGATTTAGGAGACTTCATGTAAAAATTTGTTGAATTAGCTTCTAAATTTAGGACTTTAAAATCCCCTTTGCAGTAGTTGAAATTTTAAAAAAGCTATTGGAAATGTATGGTACAGAGGAAAATTAACTTTCACTTCTCCACGAATGATGAAGCAACGTGCACCCACAAGTTACGCAGCCCAACCACGCTCTGACACCTTCTTGGACACACACCCCTTTCTTTGCAGCTCAGAGTCTATCGACTAGCCTACCCTATCGCAAGGACTTTCATTTCGTCTCTCCGAAAGTAAAGTGCTTTCTTTTCTTCTTTCTCCGGTTAAGTTTCTTCTCATATGGAGAATTTCCTTCAGGTTTTCTTCAAAAGTCAGGCCCTTTAAAGAACTCCTTCAGTGAACTGGTAACAGCAGGAAAAGTAATCTCTGCCGAATCCCAGCATACCACTAAAAGTATCAAAGTATTTCAGAAGGGAGGGCTCAGAAGTTCTCAGTATAGCATGCTCTACCTTCGGACCACGTCGTTGCTTTAAGCCTCTCTTACTGCGTTCGGCCGCAGTCTTACGTGCCTGTTAATATTCAGCGGTGATATTTAATTATGGGCCAATTCTATTAGTTATTTCTGTACAGCTTTGGCTTAGTTAGTCAGAAGTAGTTTAGTTTCTTATTTTCATTAGAAACTAAACTACTTCTAAAGAACTAAGTTAACGTCCAAGTGGAGACTTTCCTGTAAGCCCGGATGTGCCGACTGTTATTAAGTCTTCGAGTGAATGAAAGGGTATTTTAACCCTTTTTTGGACTTATCTTTATAGTTGTAAGAAGACCAGTGAATAGTCGCTAGACTCTTCACTAAAGTTCTAGTAGCCAATGACACGTAAATTAACTAGAACTTTGTAACATAAATGCATTGCTTAGTCATCCATCATTTTTGAAGCTTTTAAGCTGTTTTCAGTATTACTTCGGATTCTAAACTAAAAAATGTTTTCAAAATTATGTGCTATTTGCAATATTTTGGTAAGCATGATGATGATTTTTTATCACATGTTATGTATGCTTATTTACTTGCTGCATTTATAATGTATACATTGAATTAATTGTAAGAAATTTATGTAAATAAAAACTAAACGTATAGACAAGCGATTTTTTTTTACCAGATGTGAGCTTTGTAATATACTTGATAGAGGAGAATTGTCATGACAGTATATGATTGTAGGAGGGATTTTAACTTATAAAGCAAAGATCTGTTCCGAGTTCGAAGAGTTTGGTCATAATCTTTGTAATTTTGCTTATTAGATGTCTCTACTTGACCATGTATTTGTGGAATGCTTGCATTGGCATTCAGAGATGTAGCTCTTGAGTTACTGGACATTGAATAAGATAATGCACCCGGTACCTGTGTCACGGCAGCAGCATTGATCCTTATAACTGATCCCAAATCGCTCAAAATATACGGTGGAAAAGGTGACCTGATACATAGCGGAATAAATGTGGATTGGTTATTATTCTCTGTTGGTCTACATATGCTATAAAATAATATGTTCGACGACTCTGTTATTCTGAATTCCATAATTCTTGCCATTTTGGGACTGCTTTCAGACTGAGGCTCATTTTGAGATGGGATCTCGGCCACTGAATGTCTATGTCTTCTGCCAGAGATCCATTCCCTGCCTTCTTTGCTGACTGGTTTGCAAATTCATTGCCGTAGTTACCGGTCTAAGCTTTGATCCATTACATATTTATCTTTCGGTGTAAATTTAGTCTGAGATAGGTTCGGATTTAAGATATTAATGGCGAGGGGTGTGGGGATTAGTTATTTCATATATCATTGAAAACAGGGCTTAATTTCTAAGATTAGAAGTGCCGGAGCTCTGTGGAAAACCGTCAGAAAAGAGGAACAAGAGTAAATAAATAAATAAAATGACTATTAAACTCATTAATAATTTTAAAATTTAATAGTTAATTATTATCAAATTAATTAATAGCTATTTTATTAATGTTTACGAGCATAAATTGTTATTTACTGAATATTATAAATAATTAATTATAATTTAATTGATAATTATTAGTATTATTTATAATTTAATTGATAATTATTATATAACTAATTATTATTGAAATAATTAAGATTGAACTACTTAATAATTAAAATTAAATAAAATGTGAGAGATAAATTGAAATTTAATAAGCGATTTTTAATATTATTTTATTGTTAAAATAAAATTTTTGAGATAAAATTTCTACTGAAATTGTTATTCAGTTACATAAAAGAAGTGCCGCGTGCCGCAGCCTTCTTATTCAGGGCTCCGGTGCGTTCCGGCTAGAATTATGATTTATTACAAAAACTAAGAAGCACTGGCCCCAATTTAAGCTCTGATTGTAAGGGGGGGGAATTCTTTTATCATCACAAAAATTAAATATATCTGATGAAAATTCCAGGGCGAAACAGAATGAGGGTATGAGTGGGTGAAAACAAAAAAATGAGGGGAACCTTGGCGAGAGAGAACGTCCTCTTTGACCGCGGCTCTCTGCTGATATAATTATAGCCATCAAGCAGATGTCTGTCAGGGGTAAAATGAGTCCTGAATCTGAGTCCTCAGGATGAATGTAAAGTTGCTGGGTACGCTTCCCCCCTTATTAGTGGACACCATGGAGGTAGGAAAGGGAGGAGGGGCCATTCCGCGCTAGAAGTGAAGCACTGCTTTGAAGCTTGGGTCACCAGACGGGGTGTTATTCGTTTACATTTAGAAGCTCGCTTGACAAGATTCTGATAGTATTTCGACACACGACAGTTCCATAGAAATCGAAAAAGGGACACTCTCGCATGAAAGAAACATTCATAGTGTGATGGATAATAGCAATTTGTATAGTTTAGTGACATTTACGCAAAAATCACATCTTGGTTATTTTTCGATAACTAACAACAGCGATTTTGATTATGAATTTGTTTTATAAAATTCTATTCTAAGCTGTTGCACTACAAAAATATAGATTTTAAGAAAATTGCTAAAAGAGATCTGCCAAAATTTATTTTCTAGAAGATTTGAAAAGTTTGAAACTTGATGGCTAAATGTAAATATAAATTATGTACTGTATGTTAAAATATTTGTAATTAGGCACATAGGTCAGATTAAGTTTTTATTAAATAGAGTAACGCATGCAAGGGCTTATCTGCCTAAAGAGAGAGATGCCATCGTGGAGGAATTTTGAAGAAAAACTGACCTTTGAGTGGGTATTAAACATAATACTTATAATTTTCATTCAAATTATATTCATATATATTTTTTATGTAAAACTTTCGGGTGTATGCTAAATTAATGTAAATTACTTTACACGAAAAATATAGTGAATGCACAGAGATTAAAGATTTGCACATGCCGGAAATGATAAAGAGGAAATATGTATGGGTATTTATGCATGTGCTTGCAAAAAGCATGTATCTGCCTTTGACAAAATACTTAAATATTCATTAAATTATTTTATAAATGTATTTGAAATGAAGAATTTATTCACTTATAAACAACTGTGAAAGTACTGTGAAGAAATCTAATGATTAAATGTATCTAATTTATAATGATTATAAATGTTATCTAAATATATAATAACCTTAATATTGAATTGTAAACATAAATTGAAATCCTGTTGACAAATACGCTATAAAACTATTTAAGCAAGAATTGTTCGTATTGGAAAGCAATCTCTTAAAAGGTATTGTAAAGCAAATGCTATGAGATGCGCACTTAAGAACGTAATAAAGAGTTTTGGAATGTATTATTGAAATGAAGGGTAAAAAAAAAAAATCTGATAAGTATAATTAAAAGAATTATTCCCTTTACATTTTATAATAACTCAG